CATTTCCCTGCACCTCTCAAACTGCCTCGCAAAATAAATCACTCCTCTTCTTGTTTCCATCCATCCAGTCCAGCTTACACACGCAGAATATCGCTGAACGTGGAATTATAAATCAAGAATGTAGCTTTTGCTTGACCCGAGTAGTCAATATTGGAATCTTGTCAGTTGCTTTCCAATAGAAGAAGCAGAGAATGGAGTAGTGTGTTACTTTGATGTAGCCCTTGTGATTTACAAAGAATATGCAAAGGTCCATTTCTTTGGACAGAGGAAAAATTAAGCAAAGACAGTTGCTTTATTCATATTATCTAGTCTCTTTCAGTTAGCCATTGGCCAGAAGAGTTCATCCTGGCAATGATCCCAAAGCTAGTCCTGACAGCTTTCTTTGGATTCTCTGTCTTCCTGCTCTCCTGGACAGGCACACACAGTGCTTTCAAACACTATCAGCCTGCCTACTGCTGCTGCAGTGGCACGTAGCTGTCTGTGAAATCCCTTTATCCATGCAGCATGGATTGCTGAGCATCGCTGACTGCAGACTTCAGTTCAGGTGTTGGCTTTTTCACCATTCCATTTGATAAGCAAATGTAAAGTCTATTCTACTTTCCACTGCCTATTCTATAAATAAATGTATGTTTCCTACATTTATCCTGCATAAATGGCAACAGTTTATAACCACAGATTCCAGAACAGGGCAAGTTGATGACAGAGAATATTAATTGGCTTCTTCTTCCAAGTGTTTTTCCTTGTTCTCTCGATTCAGGCAAATATAGGGCAACTGAAGACATTACTTTATAAAACTCTGTGGGAATTGTACTGAGACTAGTTTGTATGACAGTAAACATTTATCGGTAGTTTTGTAGTTAATTTGCTTCCATTTAATATTAGAGCAGTCTAATCAGTAGATGAAGGATTTCACCTAATAGGTTTATTTTCATTTGTGTAGTCGCAGAGTAGAATTGAGCAGGCTACAAGGCACTGACATTTACACACATTTCAAATTCTGTTTTGATTTCATTCTTGGCTTTCAGATATTTGATTTGGATCATTATCAAGTTGTTACTGTTTTTGCTGTTGTACACTTTTGTTCTCCAATACAATGGAAACAGCATTTAATCTGGTTATTTAATTACATATTTTAACTACTTTTACCATTTTATGCTTTGGAATTAAGAATGTTGAATTTCTGTTAAGAAAAATCATTGAGAGAAAGAGCTGAGGCAGAGCATACTTTGTTTATGCTAGGTATGCAGAAAATAGGCATGCAGTGAGGGAAAATACTCCTGATGCTGTTAAAACAGAATTAAAAAAAATGATTTTGCTCAGTAATACATTTTTCATTCCTGAATCTGAGCTAAAGCTGTGCTACAGCTGGTGCCCACGTTCTGTTTTGGTTTTGTGTACCTGATGAATGTATCTGTGATGGGCCTGTGGTTCTGGAAAAGCATGTGTCCTATACATCAACCTCAAGAAATTAAACTCCCATTAAAAGAGAATGTGCCAACTATTGAGAAAAGAGGAGAACTGGGCAAAATGGCATGCTATATTTATGTGTTATGTGTGTCAGCAGGGTTGTAGCAGATGCTTGTAGACAATCATAATATATTTGTACATTTCTTGGTTCAGCCATTGAGTTGTGTTTGGTACCCTAAGTATTTGATTAAAATTAAAAAACAAACAAACAAACAAACATAAGACGTTTAATGATGAAGGCAGTTCTAAGGTCTACAGAAATGGCATTTTGATCTTGTTGAATAATAAAAGGAAAAAATAAGGGGAGGACAATGAAAAGAGCTTCTGAATGGTGAAGAAAGGAGTGGAATGGAGGAAGTAAAAAATGAGAAATGCTTATGAGTAATAGTATAATATTGCTGAAGGCAATCAAAACTGCCCCAAACCTACTTTTTAATCAAGATATAACAACTTGTAGCAGGCAGTTCAGAACAACACAGCCATTTGCTCACGCTCCCCAACCCAGATAGGATGTGGAGAGAACCAGAAAGGTAAAAGTGTGAGAGCTCATGAGTTGACGTAAAGACAGCTCACTTGGTAAAGTAAAATCTGTGTGCAAGCAAAGCACAACAAGGAGTCCATTTGTTACTTCCCATCAGCAGGCAGATGTTCAGCCATGCCCAGGAAATCAGGGTTCACCACACGTAACAGGGAAGACAGAATCACACAGAATCACACAGAATCACACAGAATCACACAGAATCACACAGAATCACACAGAATCACACAGAATCACAGAATGGCCCGGCTTGGAAGGGACCTCAAGGATCATGAATCTCCAACCCCCTGCCACAGGCAGGGCCACCAACCTCCCCAATTAATACCAGACTAGGTTGCCCAGGGCCCCATCCAGTCTGGCCTTGAACACCTTCAAGGATGGGGCATCTGGGCAGCCTGTTCCAGCACCTCACCACTCTCATAGTAAAGAACTTCCCCCGAACAAACACCATCTCTCCAAATATCCCGCCTTCCTCCTTTCCCCAGCTTTCATTACTTAACATGATGCCGTACGGTTTGAGACATCCCTGTGGCCAGTCTGGGCCAGCTGTCCTGGCTGTGTCCCTCTCTTGCGTCTTGCGAACACCCAGCTCCGTGCTGGAAAGTCCTTGGTGCTACATAACCACTGCTCTCATACAATGAAAACGAGTAAACCCAGGTGCAAGCAATTGTCACGTTAATGCAATAGCTTCTAGCGGCCACTGAGTGGCTATCCAAGGCAGCTCTCTTCAGGGCAAGTCCGTGTAGGTGCTGAAGGTACACGTTTCCCACAGCAGCACAAATAGTCGCAGATGAAACAGCACAGAAAATCTTCAGCAACACAGGATATCAGGGGGATGGTGATTATTTTTTTCTTTCAAAAATATGTAATATTCCACAAAACATGAGAATTAATTTCAAAGCAAATATTCTCTCTATATAGATGGTATTTTTTCCTGTACTGCCTTTACTATCACTTCCATGTAACTAAAACTCGAATCCTCTCCAACGTATGTGTTGAAGTGCAGATTACATCTACAAATTGCTGGAGTATTAGCGTGGTTGCAGCAGTTATGAGCTCTCATTCCCCAAATAGGTCTCTCTCCTTTTGCCAAAACAAATCACACTCAAAGGAGAAGTACTGTGTTGTATGTAGTGCCCTACACCATCTTTTTGAGTTACCACTGCATTCACTCCTGTCTCAATATTAAAGGTAGAGGTTTTTCTGCAATGTAGCCAAAGTCAATGTAACAACTCTCTGTTCATTGCAGTGTACCTCTGTGACTAACCAGTGCCACTGCATTGCTGGATGTTGTATTGCAATAGGAGGGAGGCATATGAGGATAATTAGAAAAGTGCAAGGTGTTCTGTCTGTCACAGATGTCAGCAATTTGCAATTCTGCTACATTATCACTTGTACATGTCAATACTGAAATCATGAGAGTATAGGAGAGAAACATCAGCAGTGTTAAGAAGTCTTCATCTTTATTAGTTTTCAGAAATCATTTCCATCCTTTATACTTTTTTTCTTAAGCACACGTACTGTTTACATTTTATTGCTTGGCAGGAGTTATGCACCATACAACCAATACATACCTACTACCCAAGAATAAAAATTGCACAAACCAGTCATTTGCCTGTTCGTGCTGCTAGTGTGCAAGAACTTGCATTGCCACTTTGTCATCTGTTTTGTATCAGACTTTTTTCTTTTTTCAGCTAGAAAAACGAGAAGGGTTATACATTTTAGGCATACTTGTACTCTAAGGCATCTGGTAAGAATAGTAATACCCATCAGCTTTTTATTAACAATGCCTAGTGAGGAAGCAGAGAGGGCTGTTAATCATATGGCATATCCCTAAGTGAAGGAAATGTAGCAAAACTACTTCTCTGAGATCAGCAGGTCTCCAAGGTGCCCTGCAATGTCAGGTAAACCCATGGGATGCCAGGCCCACTTGTATGAGCTGCATATCGGCCAGAGCTCAACCCGTTGTAACTGGGCCCTTCTCAGAAAAAAAGCTGATGCAGTACCCGGTATTGTTCTCACTGCTGGCATGCAAGCAGCTGCTGGTTCGTTTGTAATGTTTGTCCCGTCAGACTGACAGAATACAGAGCTGCTGCACAGAATGCTGCTGCAGTGCACAGCCACCAATTCTAAACAGACACCTGGCGCCCATTGACCTCCTACCTGCTGTGCTTTGGTTTCAATCACCCTTTCCAGCAGCACAATGTTTCGTGTCCGTATGCAACCCAGGATTAATTAAGAACTACATTCTCATGGCAGCAGCCCCATCTTTCCCGGCAGTATTAGTCATGGTGTCTGCAAAGAGCCTCACAGAATTAACAGCACTGTGTCTGGACAAATGCCCTTCCTTCAGGCTGCCTCCAAGCACTGGCAGTTTCCTCAACAGGTGTAAATGGCACCAAGCACTACCTCGTGCCCTTAGCCACAAGTTATCAGCACTACTGGGATGCTGCTTAAGGCCTTTATTGCTTTCCTCCTATGTTTCAGTTGAGACAGGACTTCAACTTCTCTGATCTGCCACCTACACAGCCTTCTTAGCGCGGCTCACCCGCGTGCCAGCTCCTCAAAGAGCCTGACAGCGGCCTTTATTTACAGTCACCTCAGCACAGCCAGCAGCGCCGCGCCTCCCCAGCCAGCTTCCCACAGGGCAGCACAGCTCTGCACCACAGTGCCCGAGGCCTACTGCCGTTCCGAGCAAGCCCGGCCGCCGCGCTCTCTCCCAGTCGAGGGCCACCCGCACAGAACACCACACAGCGCACAGCCAGCCGCTGCATCAGCCCGGCCACAGAAATGGCGGCGGAGAGGCGGGCGAGCGGCGTCACGTGCAGGGGGCGAGGCCGAGGCCTTCCGGTCACGTGACGCGGGCACCCGGCCCCCGCGCCGGCCGCACGCGCCCCCCCCCCCCCCTCTCTCCGCGGAAGTGACGTAGGCCGCCGCGTTGGTGCGCAGTCGTTCGGTGCGGCCGGACGCGGAGCGGCTGAAGCTGCCCGGCGGCTACCGCGTCTCGCAGGCGGCACCGCCCGCCCGGCCCCGCCCCTCCGCCGCCGCCTCACGCACGCACTGCGCGTTACGCGTTACGCACGCGGCGAGACAGCCGAGACCGCCACCACGAAGCGCCGCAGCCCGGTGAGTGCCCGGAGCTGAGGCCCGCTGTGGCCGCGAGCGGCACCCGCTTCCGGAGCCGCTCCGGCCCTTATGTAAGGCGCCTTGGGGGGCCCGCGGCCATCCGCGCTCTGGCTGCGGGCCGCGGCCGCGTCATCCCGGGCCCGGCGCCCCTGCGGCACGGAGGAGATGCCATCGTCCCGCGGCGGGCGGGCGGTGGCCACCGGGCGGGGCCGCGCCGGAGCTTAGCGCGGAGCAGGTGTCGGGGCGGCCCTCCGCGGCCGGGCGCTGCGCCGCCGCATCTCCGCGTTTGCTTTGTGCGGCCGGGCGGGAGGCGGTGTGTGCGGCGGGTTTGTCCCGGTGCCACTGCGAGATGAGGTAGGAAGTGTCGGCCGGGCCGCGGTGCGGGCTGTGCTTTCTGCGCTCATCCAGAGCGTCCTGAACAAAGGGTGAAATTCCTGCTCTGAGAAGTGTCAGAAGTTCTGTCTGAAGTGCTGCTTGGCTGTCAGTGTGGGATCGGCTCTGTTCCTGGGCCGTTCGTCCTGCTGTGCGTCCTGCTTAGCGGGACCGGGCTTTGTGTCTGCCCCGAGGTGGTTGAACTGTAATGTGTGTCGTTGGTGTCACAGCACCTCTGCTGCCCTTTGCCTTCCGTGGCGCTCATTTCATACTTCAGCTTTCAGCTCAGGCCGTGGGAGAGGCTGAGAGTCCATCAGCGAACCCCTCTCTGTTTGGAACTTGTGACGGTTCCTTCTCGTTTCCAAAAGGAATGTATGCCATGGGACAGCGATTTGTTGAGAAGCAGAGCCTGCAAATGTAACCAGAATGTCGTGAATGGGATTTTTCGTGAAGTGAAATTTTAAATCTTTCAGACTTAAGTTTTTTGTGTGTCTCCTTGTTGATGAACTTGCCCGATGTTGGTAATAGATGGGCTTCTGAAGCTCTTAAGGAATTGATAAACTTGCTGTGCTGTTCCACATTTTTCAAGTAACATTGACGTATGTGAGTTCCAAGTCATGCTGGAGATGCAAGGATGGGAATTAGCAGATGTCCTCTTCTTGTGCAACAGCAGTAAGCAAGGAGCTGCAGGCTTCAAAAAGTACTAATCCATTTAAGTTTCTCTATTGTTATAGATGTTATGGCTTTTTTTTTTTTTTTTTTTTGTTTGTTTAAATCGGTGATGTTGCTGAAATTTGGAAGACCAGAACACCATAATTTAGAAATGAAATTGGCTCACCAGCAGGATCTCAATACTAAGGTTTTTGCATAGGTTTCCTTTGTATGAATGATAAATGGAACTAATTATGTTGCGTCTTCAACATGTAGGCACTGTGTGTCAGTCCTTCCTCACACTTTGCACAAGTGCTATTGTTGTTAATGTATGGCTATTTCAGTTCTGTCAGTCAGCCTTCAGAAATGAAAAGAAATCCCAAAGAACTAGTAGAATAGACTTACAGATAAGGGTTTTTAATTATTTCAGACCAATAGCATTCTTAAGTGCTTTATTCCTGTTTGGTCTTAAAAGGTAAGAAAATGAATGCCTGCATGTACACAAGCAGACAAATCAGAAACTGGGATGTTTGTCAGTGTTCCTTATCCTCTGTGAAAGGGATGTCTTGTAACTGGAGCAACAAAGGAAATTTTGCTCGTGAATGGTGCTTCCAGCTTTGTCTTTTGCTTTATGTGTGAACTTGGGGAGATGTGCTACTTGTCCTTCTCCAGGCTGTGGTTCTACCAGACTGTGCTGCAGCTGTCTGGGCCTGCTCTCTCTCTTGCATTGGAACCAGTGCAGTCGTGTGCATTTGGTGATGTGTCTCAGCTCTCTTACATTGATGGGCAGGAAACACAGCAGCTACCTCTGCCCAGAAAACTCCAGCAAAGCCAGAATCCTGCCACTGGACTGAGCTGATCTCGCTTCCCATTTGGAATGCCAGAGCAGGAATGCGTGCTGGGAGCAGGGATGTAGCAGTTCTTTGTAAGCACTGAACCATCCCGGACATCCACGGGTCCCTGCCCTTTTTGGAACAAGGGGCAATGTTGTTTAGTAAAATTCAATTAACTGTTTTGACATCTAGCTTGAATAGAAGTGTAGTATGTGCTACCTGCAAATACCAATGCTGTGTGGGAAGACTTGAAGTGTTGAATTCCTGCTGATGTCAGGCCCTCCTCTGAAGTGGCTGAAGTCTTGGCAGACACTAATGCAGCTGATTCTGTAATCACAGTCTGTCCTTTGGAAAGCAGAGGTGTACCAAATAATTTTCTTTGCTATGTAGCAGTGGAAACAACTTTTTTAGAGTAAGAACTGCTGGATTTGTGTCCTTGTGGCCAGGAAGGCCAGTGGTACCTGGGGGTGCCAGCAGGGTGAGGGAGGTGATCCTCCCCCTGTGCTCTGCCCTGAGGAGACCACTTCTGTAGCAATGGGGCCAGTTCTGAGCTCTCAGAACACAGGGAATTGCTGGAGAGGGACCAGTGCAGAGCTGTAAAGATGGTCAGGGCCTGGAGCATCTCCCTGATGGGGAAAGGCTGAGAGATCTGAGACCGTTCTGCCTGGAGCAGTGAGGGCTGAGAGGGAATCTTGTGCGTATAAATAACTAAAGGACGGGGCTCCTTTAGTTGGAGCCAGGCTCTTTCCAGTGGTGCCCGGTGACAGGACAAGGAGCATAACTTGCTAGAACTTAGCAAGGTCCATCTGAATATGAGAGACAGATTCCTTACGGTGAGGGTGACAGAGCCCTGGCACAGGCTGCCCAGAGAGATGGTGTGGTCTCTTCCTCTGGAGATATTTAAATCCACCTGGATGCTTTCCTGTGCAACCTGCTCTAGGGAACCTGCTTCAGCAGGTGGGGTTGGACTGTAGCTGATCTCCATAGGTCCCTTCCAACCCCTGCAGTTTTGGGATTGTGTGACTTTTAGGAATTTTGCTTCTTTGAAGCTTTGACTAGAAATCAAACAGGGAAGATGTTGAACGTTCCAAAGATGGTAGTTAACTTAGCATCTACTAAGGAATTGTTTACAAGTTCCTCTTTTAGAATGCTAAGAGCATTCTGAAAGTATTCAAGGATGGACAGATGTGACGTAATGTAGTGTTTTAATGAGAATCTGCTTAACTTACAAGAATGATGGTGATGAATGGTGGTAGGCACATGGTGGAGTGCTTTAGGCAAGGTACTTATTCGAGAGAGATTTTTCCCTGACTCCTAGGATAGAATTATAATAAAAGGAGCACAAAGTGTCATTCAGCAGATCTTGTGCCAACAATTTTTCTGCGTAAAATAAATAGTGAGAAAACATGAGTGTCGAAGAGGAGTGTGTAATTTGTTTGATTGGCCTGGGTATGGGAAATGCTGAGTCCTGTCCTGAACCACTGATTGAGCACCTGGAGAAAGGACCGGGTCAGCCCTGGGAGCACAGGTGAAGGTTGTAAGACAGGAAGGGCTGGCAAAGCCTGGCTGCATCTCTCTTAGACCTCACTGAAGGGCTGACTGCCCCTGGGGAAGGATCTCTTACTGGAGAGCCCTCCTTGGTGAAGCGTTCCCTTGCAAACCTGGAATCTTGTGATACAGGTGAGCAATCTTCTGCCCTTCCTTTATCATGCTGGTCCTGCCATGGTACCTTATTGTAATGCCTTTCCCATCATACTGATCTGTCCAGTTGCTACAGCCCATTTTGTTACTCCTTTTTTGCATTCGTACTTCTCTGTAAAATAATTGCAAAAAGCAAAACTTCTGAGAAATGTGCGTGCTCTGCCTGTTGCAGGAAGAAAAGAGCATTCCATGTGGAGTGCTGGAGCTTCAGCACTAGCAATGCTTGGTCTTTGTGCTCAGCTCCCCGAAGCCTGGCTTTAAAAAGAGGGTGGGTGATTGACATTGTGTCTGTCCCAGGATGAGATGTAACAGGCTTTGTCAGAACTGTTGGATTGTTTGGTTTTGGGAAAGAATGGAAGGTGAAGCGTTTGCCCTTGCCAAGCATGCTTGCAAAATCTTTTTAATCAGAGTATCTTTAACAAATATGATTAGCTTCACTTCAGCTGAAGGAATTAGTTGACTGGGTAATTTATATGCAGTTGACTGTGCAATTTTTATACAGGTGATGCACTGTAGGCACATTTACATAACATTAGCATGAGAATGCTTTGGAGGGGATGCCAACAGAAAGGCTGAAAAACACACATCTCTGGGTTCTCTTCAGACTGCTTTTCCTTGTGTTTGATGTGGACTTTAAGCCTTATGGAAAGGTGGACTGCAGAGTTCTGTGTTCCACTGTAACAGATGCACTTCCAAGTACAATTACACTAAGGGTGGGACGATTGCAACCGCTGGGTAATAGTGTATAATTATGTTTACACAATGCTGGGTCCTTCAGAGAAGGCCTGAAAATAATTATTTTAATTTAGAATTGGATCCAAAGTTTTGTCTACAGTATAAAAACTTGAGTGCTTTTTGCATATGGGCAGTTCTCTGCATTTCAGTGCAAAAGCAGCAGTGGTGAAAATCACGTATCTGTACAGCTGAAATTGTGCTTGTGTGCGTGTGCACACGCTTTAACTATGCTGACTGAGATGAGTGCTTGTGAGTTTGAAGGCATGGTTTCATTTGAAGTGGAAGTTGACTTTGTTTTTTTTCCAGTAAGCCAGTCTGCAGGTCTGCAGTGCTGTGGTTTCTGCCCTTTCTTAATCACCACTTCTTTTAAGATCAAGTCTGAGCTGCCTGACCTTTCCTGTACATCCCCCAGGATGTATGTCCTTGTGTTCTCCTGCAGTCATTGACTACTCATAGACCTAATGGTTGTTGGTTATTGGTTTGTTATTTTACTCAAATATTCATAGAGTACTATTGCTGTTTTCCCAGGCTTATTTCTTGCTTCCTTCTTGTCATTCAGAGGCGCAGTGTGATCAAAGGGTCCTCTTCCCTTCTAGTCACATGGACTGCAAGGAGGTATTTGTAGGGATGTGGGTTTGTGGGAGAGTGGAGAGTGTTTGTTTTGAGTAGAAGGGTGTATCTTGCCCTCAGTTTAGGGTTGAGCCTTTCAGAGGCTTTATAAGCTTGGAGGCAAAAATGTGACAAATTCAGCAGTGGAAGAGAAGCAAAGATGCGAATGAGATGGAGGGAACTAATAAGGGAAGATTGGAAATTCTCAAGTAAATTAGAGTCCCTTCCATAGAATCACGTAATGATTTGGGTTGGGAGCGACCTTAAAACTCACCCAGTTCCTGAATAAAGCAAAAATAGTAAGACTCTTGCAGCAGGGCTGTACTTAGTGTTACTCATTTTAGAAAGCAAACTGCATGTGCTTCATGTGGTTGCTTGCCATAGGTTTATCAGGACACCTATCTTGATAGACTTAGCTCAGATTGCTGCCATAACATATTCTGTAATTAAAATAGTGTGGTGTAACTGCTTAACAACACAGTGTTCCTTTAAGATTGTGCATCTTGAGGTGCAGAAGAGGAAGTGACTCAAGTACCAGGTATCAGCACTTAGTGAGAAAGTCTGCTTTCATAGCGAGCCTGCTCTTGTGCCATCAGAGCCTGCTTGTGGTGACAGACTGACACCTGCACTCACAGCAGCTGTAAACACACGCAGAGAATCAGAAGGCTGAAGGTAATTGGGTTAAAATATGGGGATTTTTTTTTTTTTTTTTTTTTTGTAAAATATTAGAGGAGTAGTTGCAAGCAGTTCTCTTGCAGGAGGCGCTTGATGAGCTCTGATGCGATTTGTGCCTAGATGTACTCAGACTTACTAGAAAGGCTTACACATCTGCTGTGCCATTTTACTTGCCTTGGTGTTTATGTGCAAGGTCTGCTTGAAAACCTTGGTGCTTGGTTTTATTCCTGACAGCAGTGCTAATTATTCACACACCAATAAGGTACCTATATACACAGAACCAGAAATGAGTGGACCTGGTTGCCAGCTCATCTCATGCTCTGAAGAACGTAGCAGCAGTGGAGCTACCTTTCAAATATAGGTCTCTTTCCACTTATTTCTACGATACTTGGGCTGTTGACAGCGGCTCAATTTAGTGGTGGCAAAGGATTGGAATCCTGGTCTTGTACTACCAATAGTAACAGAGTATTTGCATCCCTTGGCTGGATGCTTCAGTGGAGAAAGGGGAGGAAACCAACATCGATAGGTGGTAAATGACAGGTTGGTGGGAAGGCTGCTGCTCCTGCAGTGGGCTGTGGAGCTGTGTGCCATGGGAAGCTCTTTGGGGTGGAGCTGTTTTGGAAGCATGAGCTGCAGCAGAGAATGCTTCATTTGCAGGAGGCTCTCTACCTGAATGAGAGTTAGTGATGCTTGGAAACATAATTCTGCGATAACTCTGTCTTGCTTTCTAACTGCGGTTTTCTGATGGTGTGAGCAGTGGAATTGCTGCTTTTTATTCCTTTTCTTCAGTTCTGCTTACATTTTTTAATTGCTGAGATGTCAAGCTTTCACTGTACTTGAGTAAATTTGTGTTTCTTTTTTTTTTCCTGATAGTTACTGAAATCATGAATCCTGTGTATAGCCCTGGATCTTCTGGGGTTCCCTATGCAAATGCCAAAGGAATTGGTTATCCAGGTAACTCCCTTATTTTTGTTTTCAATTAAACTTCGGTCTGCTAGTCTCTGCAATCAAGGAGTAGTTGCTCATTAGTGGGTTCTGTGTGGTGATCTTTTGTTTGTGGTTTCTTGTTTTGTTTTTAATTTAAAAGGTGGAATTTCAGAAGTTGTGTTAGTTGTGCTGTTTTATAATAATCTTAATATGTCTTGCAAAGTAACTTATTTGGGGAGCTCACATAATTATCTCCTGCAAGATGAGGAGCCAGTCTTCTTTATTCTAGCTGACTGACACTGTTAACAAGAATTAGCACTTGTCTATCTAACAATCTAACAAGAGAAAGCAGCACTGAAGTTTGGACAAGAAAATCACAAAAAGTACTTTAAAAACAGAGAAGTAAAAGTATTTCTTGCTTTCATTGCTTCTCACTTGTTTTCAAGTTTCTCTCTGTTTTCCACCCTCCTACCTAATGCTCAGTGTGAGCGTTCTGGTTTCTGATCTCTCTGTAGTTCAGAAGTTTAATAAAGCAATAATTACTTGCGGACAGACAGAACTTTCCAAGGAGGCCAAAAAGAAGCCATTTCCTCTGTGAAGCATTTCAAACAGCCTTTTTTTTTTTTTTTTTTTTTTTTTTTTTTTTTTTAACCTTTGTGGTATAAGTTAATTATTCCATTCTAGGAGAGTCTGCATGGTCGATCAACTGCAATTTTATGTGCTGTGACTTTATGTATCCAAACGTGCTGCCTTCGCAGGCAGATAGATCTGTGTTGGGAGCTAGAAGTCATTCAGCACAACAGTTAATGTTAATGATCTCTGTTCTAGGTCTTCCTACTGATCTACAGTTTTAAAATTTGTGGTGCAACTTCAGTCAAGTACTGGAGCTCCTCTTTTCCATTTTTGTGTTTCCTCTTTAAATAGTGATGTGTGAGTTGGCTTTTGATTAGATCTCTCTATAGACCCTTCTATCTTTCAGTCTATTGATTCCCTTTTAGGTCCTTTCATTTTATCTTCAAGATAGTGTAGCTTTATGAATTTCTTCTACAGTGTTGATAAAGCAAAAAAGTCCTGTATTGCAGTGTTTAAGTCTGTTGAGTGACTGGAGTGGTTCAGTTGTGAATTGTAAAGCTGATAAGTCTTGCAGGGTGGTCTTTACTCTCCATCTTAATTGGCTATATGGTCTATAACAATTTTATGGTAAGGTGAGCAGCAGTTACTTAATGTTGCAGTACGATTATCTCTATATTCGTAATTGATTTGTCAAGTCTTTCTTCAAACTGAGATAAAGATTATTACAGCATACATCACAGAATCACAGAATGGCTTCAATTGGAAAGGACATTAATAATAATCTGTTTCCAACCCCTTGCCATGGGCTGGCTGCCCCCTACCAACTCAGGCTGCCCAGGGTCCCATTCAAGCTGTCCTTGAGCACTTCCAGGGATGGGGCATCACAGCTCTGGGCAGCAGTGCCGTGGCCTCACTGCTCTCTAGGTAATTGATTTCTTCCTAACATCTAATCTGAATCTCTCCTCCTTTAGTTAAAATCCATTCTCCCTTGTCCCCATCACTATCAGACCTTATTAAAAGTTGTTGTTCCCCGTTTATAAGCTCCCAGTAAGCGCTAGACGGCCATAATATCCCAGGAGCCTCCTCTTTTCCAGGCTGAACAGGCCAACTTCTTAAACCTTTCCTCATAGGAGAGGTGCTCCAGCCTCTGAGCATCTTTGTGTGCCTCTTCTGGACCTGCTCCAGCAGCTCACCTTTCTTGTGCTGGAGTGCTGCAGGTGGGGCCTTGTAAGGACAGAGAAAAGGGGGTCTGCCCCCTCCCTTACGCTGCCAGCTCTGCTCTTTCGATACAACAGGGTGCTGGATACTAACTGATATTTTTATCTCCTTTCATTTTCTAAGCACAGATTTTTATTTACCAGGGTTTCCCTTGTACTTACAACCGTTCACACGTTGCTCTTCAGTCATCATTTAGTCTTATCTAAGTAGTACTTCAGTTTACTTAGGAGAATGGACTATTACAGACCTGTAAACAGCAGTTTAAACCACACAGGAATGATAGAATAACAGATGAGAAGTTACAGATGCAACTGTCCTGTACATACATGGATAGATCTGCTGGTCTTTGCATTGCCATAAACTGGCATAACTGAAATACATGGAATTTAAAGACGGTATAAATGTGCTGGAATTGCCGTATTTCAAGCTGGTGGCTTTCCATTCTTGCCTGCAGAAGTTAGTCAATTTCTGGAAGTGTGACTCCTGAGTTCAGCCTTGTCAGTTGGTTCTGCCCGTGATGCTGATGGAGCTTACTGAGCTCTCTCATCCACACTTAAAGACCATGGGATAAACACAAAGCATCCTGTAAAGTGAAAAGTAGACTAGCATATCCCCATAGACATGGGGGGCATGGAACTAGATGGTCTTCAAAGGACCCTTCCAAACCAAACCATTCTATGATTCTGAGACATTAGGTTTTTTTCTTTAAAATAATTGCATGACTAAGTCTCCTTTTCTTGCCTCTACTAATATAGCAACTACAGATTCTCCTTTCAGGATCATTGAATTTACATGGACTGCGTGATAATAGAAAGTAGTGAGCATACAGTTAGGAGGAGTGTATTATTTGAAGGCGCTGTGTTTGTAAAGCTGTTGCATATTTAATAGCTGCTTGTATTGCACTACATCTATTTGAAGTCGTTGGATTGGTTTACAGTAGCAAGGAATCAATATCCAAGTGTTCTCAGGTGGATTAAAGTTGTATCTAGAAGTTAAAGCTGCTGTTTGGTGTAACTGAACTTGTCTGGTTCAGAGCTCTTTGTGGAGCTAAACCTGTGAAGAATGGAGAACTGAAAAATGATGCAAGAAATAATGCTGCAGTTGTGAAGTCAGGTGTAGAACTGTATGGAGGACTTCGCTAGGAGATGGCGAGTTTGAAATCTTCAGAGCTGTTTACACTCTGAAAAGTTGTTATGACTAGTGTGTTGTCTTTGATTTTAAGCCTGATGCTTCTCTTAAGTGGTCAGAATGGATCTGGCTCACAGTAATGCCAGTTGCATGCAGCTTGATACATTTGCAAAGTGCTTTATAAAGCTAAGGGTGCTCAGTCAGTCCCAAGGTAAGCATAGCTATTGTTGCAGAGAGTAACTCTGAGCACTTCATAGTTGGAGAAAGCAGGGATGCTTCAAATGTGAGAAGCGTTTTGAAACTGACAGTGATGATGTGAATAGTCCTTGCATTTTATCCATAGAATTTTATCCATTGAATTTGAAATTAAAATCTAGCAAACTTTGTATCTTTGAAATATCGGGTGCGTAATAATTTAGCCCTAGTGGTTCACAAATGCTGGTGCAGAAGTGTTTCCCTGTGTTTTGCTGTTGCCTGAGTGGATCACAATTGTTTCTGTTGAGTATCATAGCACAGTGCTAAAACACTGTCTTCTGTCACACCTGAGTATGGTGTATCTGTATCAAAAGCAGCTGAGGCTGCTTTGTACTTTCTGCTTGTGACCTCTCTCACTGGGAAGTCAGAGGTGCTCCGACTTTGAGGGATTTCATTATTTATGTGAAGTAGAGGTGGTTTTTTTGTTTTTTTGTTTTTTTTTTTTTTTTACCATATGAACATTTTCATCAGGTCATAAAACTTAGGGAATCTTGGATAGTTGCACAGGACTCTGTTGTCTATCTAACTTAATAGCTGTGTGGCCAGCGCCAAGGTTTGCTGAAGAGAATGGCCCTTGTGACTGCTGAGGGGTCCCCTCAGCTTCAGGTGGCTTCAGAGAGGAGGGGCACGCTGAGAAAGCATCATCAGAAGGCATCTGCTGGTTCGTCTCGATTGAAGGGTGCACAGGAAGAATAAAGTTTGGTTAGGCTGTGCAGTCAGTCTAGGAATAACTTTGATGTGCTCTTTCTTCCAGCTGGCTTCCCAATGGGCTATGCAGCGGCTGCTCCTGCCTATTCCCCTAATATGTATCCTGGAGCAAATCCTACCTTCCAAACAGGTATGTGTAATAGGGGTGTCTAAGCAATAGCCTGAAATTCAGAAGTTACTGGAGCCAAGAACTAAGAATAAGGAAAAGCTGTTGGGCCTTACAGTAACACCTGCTCTGTGGGCCCACGTGAGAGCTGAGATTTCTTCAGTGCGCAGGTACTTTGTTGGAGTAGGTCAGAGCTGTTTTTTATCTACCATTAGTGCTGGGTGCTTCAGCTGACGTATTCCCACTCTCATAGGATAATTTAGGGGTTGTAGTGTGCAGGGTACTGTGGCAGCAGTGGTGCTTTTCATGAGGCTGTTGCATTCTTCATGAAATCCTGAGACTGTGCCTCTGATGAGAGCTGCAGGAATTGTGAAAGGATTGTCTGTCTTTAGGTAGAACCTGAGCCAGCAGTTGCTACTTGTACCTGCAGAAGTGGAGTTGTCATCTTGCTCTAATGTATAAAAATTATTCTTAAGTGATTATTAAGGGTATGACTATATCTGGAGTATACTGAAAGGAGGTTTAAAGATACTCAGGTGCCTTTGGAGTCTAGTTTGCAGTTGTAGTGAACCACAACATTGATATTTTAAAGGTAGGATCTCTTTCATACTTGCCGTCCATAAAATGCCAACAAGCAAATATGAATAAACTTCATTTGAAGTGGAGGAAACATATTTTTGTCTCTGTTCTCCAAAAGGCCATCTTGAGGTCTTAGAAAAGTTCTGACCTTAGAAATTGTTTTTCTTGTGCTTTGTTTCTTCTTCTGGAGAAGGTAGCTACCCATCATCTCCTGTCATTACAACATTGGTTGTGCCGAGATGGGCTGATGGTAACATGTACCAAATTCTCCTGTGTAGGACTACTGTCTAATACACTGAATCCAGATGTTTAACAATACTACTACTAAAATCCAAAGCCACTTTTTATACAGAATCCAGCGAGTGGAAAAGCAGGTGGATGCAGTAATACAACAGCTCCTCATTCTTAGTTGAGACAGTCAGGTGTTACATACAGATGTTATCAGTACTGACTGTGAGATATAACTTGTGCATGGATATTAAGGCTAGGCTACTAAGTACTCACATGAAGATAGAGGAAATCAGGAATTAAGAAAATTGCTGCCCAGGATGTGACATCATAAAGCAGTGTACTGACACTTTTTTTGTATTTTTAATGCAGATTTACCTTTGTTTCCAGGTTATACACCAGGCACTCCTTATAAAGTGTCTTGTTCACCCACTAGTGGTGCAGTCCCGCCGTATTCCTCATCACCAAATCCCTACCAGACTGCTGTGTATCCAGTCCGAAGTGCCTATCCACAGCAGAATCCATATGCACAGGTAAGTGAGCAAAACCAAGCAATTGCTATCTGGTTGGGTAGTGCTTTGCCTACACTGGAATACCTGCTTGCATTTTATTCCTTCGTGGGGTTGAAAAGAATAATTAGCTGCCAACAGTGAGAATTCTTAATGCAGTCATTTACAGTGTTACATCTGTGCAGTTTATGTTTCGTTTTACGTGATGGTCACGCTCTGCTCACTGATCAAATGTTCAGTGTTTGAAGACAGACTAGTTCCAGTAGCTGAGTGTTAGAGTCAGAGTGCTAGAAGCTGTAACTACTACAGCAGTTTGTCAAAAATGGTCACAAGCTAGCACTATTTTTTTTTATTTTTTTAGGATGTCTCTGTTACTGTTTAAGAAGTTACCAAGTTGGCTTAAAAACTCTTGAAAATTGTTGAGGCTATTTTAACAGGCTAACTGTTGAGAACTGCTAGAAAGGACAGAATGAAGAGCTTTGATAAACGCAATATTTGGGGGAGAAGTAGGTGCTTCTGTGGAAGAAATTCACGTGGTGTGTTAGTTGAAGGGGATTGGTGAGCATGTAGCAGGGTTTATCCAGACTGCTCAGTGTACTTGGATTTGTCAGAAACCTGAGATTCTTTAACCAAAAACAGTTGAATAAAAAGTTGTGGAAGATGTTCTTTCATGTGTTAATGTATGAAAAGATGTGAAACAAAGAGACCTTGTTGCTGAAGGTGCAGTCAGCATGGGAGAGCTACTTTTGCCTCTTGAATGTTTGAATGTTATACTAAGTGCCTTAAAATGAAGGGCTAATGTTAACAGGTTTTAGTGAAAGAAGATAGCCTGTTTTTTATTTCCCCAAAAGGTACACAGTAATTGCTTAACTTGCTTTTTCTCAACAGCAAGGCACTTACTACACACAGCCTTTATATGCAGCACCACCCCACGTAATTCACCACACCACAGTTGTGCAGCCTAATGGCATGCCAGCAACCATGTACCCTGCTCCTATTCCACCACCAAGAGGAAACGGTGTGACCATGGGGATGGTGGCTGGGACTACTATGGCAATGTCAGCAGGTAGGTGGACTTGTAACCCTTGTGTCTTCTTGATGAAGCTCTGCTTTATTTGAAGGAAAACATTACTGCGTTATAAAATGCGATGCCAGAGATGTGCTGTGCAGAACCATAAACTTAGTGCTATTAGAAGGGACTTCTGTAGGTTATCCAGACCAGCATCTTCACACTGACTCCAGCCTAGATCTGGGTGGTTACTTCTCCACTGATTTGATCAGCTGTAGTGATGGGGATATTAGCATTATTGTTTCAGATACTGGTGTTACAGTAGTATGGTAATTGTGTGTATCTTTATGGAATTTCATCTGTTTTTGTATCCCTTGCTTCTAATCAACGTAAAGGCTCTGCATTCCTCCTCTCCAAACCTTTCTCTGTACCTGGATGAAGACGGCAGCCTCTAAAGGCTGAACCCTTGCTCTTGGCCTGCCCTTCTGTTGCTGACCTCTGTGTGTTTGCACTGCACGGGGGTCCTTTCTGTCATGGGCAATTGTTAGGAAAGCTTGCTTCCTGACTCTGCAGACTTTGAGTTACAGAGTTTTGGAGATGATGTTTAACTGCTATGTAGACTCATCTGTGAGTCTTTTTCTGAAGAGTTCTGTGCTTTGTTACTCAGTGTAACTCACTGAGGAATGTCCACATTCTCTCAAATGATTCTCAATTTGGTAGTTTAAAAAATGAGTGCCATGAGCTTGTTTCCAGATTATTCTTTATCTCATCAAATTGATCACTTAATCTGGGGGAATCTCAGATCTAGGGTAGTGACACAAACTGAACTAACTAGAAGGCTTTCAGTTTCGTGTGTGGGCATGCTTATGCCAGGTATTTTTTATTATTACAAAGCACTGCAGAGTGAAGCTGTTAAGATCCTGCTATCTCAGCCTGTTTCTGAACCCCCTCTTTGTCTGTAAAAAAAAAAAAAACAAAAACAAAAACCAACAACCTGTATCTGTGCTAATGCAAACGAGAAGTAATTTATTCTGATTTGTCAGTCGAGTTATCTCCACCATCAAATATTCTTCTGGCCTGTAATGCTGGCTGTGGGAAAAAGTATTTCAGTGAATAATCTGCTTATGTTGCAAGGCTTCTGCTAAAGCTGTTTGTAAGTCATGAGCATCTTTGTGTTGGACTAAGCATCAAAATGATACAGTTGCTTAAATGTTCGAAGGAAGATTAGGTCTGGAGTGCAAAATGAGGCTGGTAATTTTAAATGGGAATATGAACAAGCTGTAAGATTTTTAGTTTCTCCTGTATGTTTTGCTATACCAGAATGTGTGCTTCCTTTTAAATATATGTATGTCCTCTTCTTCCTAGGAACTTTGTTGACAACTCATTCCCCAACTCCAGTAGCCCCTCATCCAGTTACTATGCCCACATATCGGGCTCCAGGAACACCAACCTATAGTTATGTGCCCCCACAGTGGTGATCATCCTGGCAGTCAGTGTAAGTTGTTGGTTTAGACTGAAAGCAGTTTGTTGTTGTTATTTATTAGTAAAAATTTGTTTGGGGGGGATAAGCTTCAGCTCGTGCTTTTTGTAGTCACTGTGGGAGGAGTTCTGATACGGACCATAAATGAGATTGTGGGTTTGAGGAAAGAGATTTGATTTTTGAAATCTTACTATGAAGTGGGATTTGGGGGAGTGTAGTGTGTGTGTCAAATAAACACAAAGATTAATGTTTTGGGGATCCTCACTTTTGCTGCTGGTTGTTGTTTTTTGAGTCTGTATCAGTAACTGCTCCATTTGAAATGAAATGGAAAATTCTAGTTTGGTTGGTCACTTTGTCACTGTAGTTTATGGTAACATTATTAACTTTGTTCTAACTCTCTTTGGATTTCTGTGCCAGTGATTGGGAGTTCAGAATTTGCCTTTTGAGTTAACAGAGCAGCATCTGTGTTGGGCTTTGCTTTGATGCTATGCTACGGAACACAAACTTGAAACGTTTCACTGTTTCAGCCAAAAATGTCAAGTTACATTAGTGCAAAAAGTGAGAATTTCACTGTATCTAACCTAAGGTAATTTCATTAGGCTTAAAATACCTTTTTAGGATTACACCTTCTTCTAAGACAAAACTGCTATGGCAGTAGAAAGCTGGAGCACAGATGATGGGAGAAAATCAGCGTAATGAATTTTTAATGTAGAGGCCTGTAGATTTCAGTGGATGAGTGCTGGAATAGCACTGTATGGTACTTCTGAATGTCTGATGTGTTTGTATTGTCTCTGTGGGGCATGCAGTTGTAGGATGTCTTACCACCCTCTAATAGTATCTCGCTTAATCGAATATCTTCCTTCCCCTCAATGTAGGTTTGAAGATGGGAGATATGCAATCAAGAAATTGAGGTTTAAAAGTTGGTGCTGAAGCCCTCATGCCTCCAACCAGGACTCTTCTTCTGAATGCTTTCAACACTTGGCTAAACACTACTAATTCCTGATCACTGAAGATTTTCCAGTGCTGCATATCTTACATCTTGGAACTCCAGCAGTTAGTCTTAAAGCAAATCCTGTTTTGTGGACTGTCTTGCAATTTTTTAGCTAATTATAATGATAAAAAGGGAGTATAAATTTATTCTGATCCATATCTAGTTGAATGCATGTTAAAACACAAAAACAAAGCTTGCTCAATCTACCTGCAGTGACTGATGCAAAAACCATCATATGCAAATCCAAAGGAACCGAGAAGTATTTTACAACTTGTATCACTAATGCACTGTTGTAATGTTTGCAGGGTCTTAAAAGGTAGAATCATGAAAGTGAGTTTCTTTGTAGACTACCGTAAGATACAGTAGATAAGAGCTTCAACCTTTTTTGGGTTGATGGGATTGCCAGTTTAAAAGGGGCACTTTTTTTGTTAATTTAAGTGATGTATTCTGTTCAAATTCAAGTACTAAATTGGAGTGACTGGAAAATGAGGCAGAAAAGCTGTAGGAATCCCGCACGCCATTAGTTTACTTCATACCTTTACGTTTTTGTTACATGGATTCAGTGTTATAGAGCTGTTCTCAAGGGTCAGAATGAAATGACAAAGGTAATGCTGTGTGTGCGAGTAAATAAAGCAAGCTTCCTTGAGGCAAAACTTGCCGTTAGGAATAGTAGGAGGCGACCTGTGTAATGAATTGCATGCCCTGGGGAGATACATATCCAGTACTACCTTTCATACGATGCAAGATGTGTCAAAGTGAGACTGCCACACAGGCTGATAGAATAACACTTTCCTTCAGATCTCCGTTGGAGAGATCACTGTTGTTTTTCCTAAAGAATGTTGTAGTCAGTTGCAAACTTAGGTGCAGTTGACCCAGCGTGCTTTCCTGATGTTTAAGAAGTATTAGGGCTTTCTGTGGCAGATGGGGAGATCAGCTGCGTGCTATCCTGAGGAAAGCTGCTGTGCCTGACGAGTCTGTTAAAGGGGAACAATTCATTCTAACACAATTTCCTTGTTAGCCACTTGCAGTATGGACTACAGATATGCTGTAGAGGGCTGCCAGAATATAGAGGTTTCAGATAGTTTGGTTGTTTTATTTTTATTTTTTTTTTCCTGAAAATATTTGTAATTGAAGTGGGAGCCATTCGGTGGTTGCAGCGTTTTGATGTATTTTTGTAGCATTTTTTTTTTTTAACTTCCTAAATTGCACTTGGAAGCACGTACAAATAAGACTGACTGCAGATTAGCATTTCATTGCAATGAGTCATTTCTGGTATTCTTTCTTGCAACTTCAGTTTTTAAAACAGTACCTCAAAGCAAATGCAGTGGTGATAAAGGGCTAACCTTAGAACCCATTTCTGTACCAAAATTCTCACCAGGAAGATTTTAAATTTTCAAAGTAAAATGTTGCACATGAAATCAAGGTTTTTCTTAGACCTGCTTACTTACAGTGTCAGAAAAATGCAACTTTTTTTTGTTTTTTTTTAATATACATTCTGCTTGCAATAAATTATGCAGTAAATGAAAATAAAATGTTGTTCCCTTTTAAGCCTTTACAGAGAGGTGTATCAGGCTGTATCGTTCTCGTAGTCTAATTTCCATTCAGAAGTGATAATTTTTTTTCTCTAATTCTCTATCTAATTAATGTTTTTCTGGGGTGTTCTGCTCCTCTGTAGGTTTGGCAGCTACCTTGGGGTAGCTTCAGAGCTGATGTGATGCTGCCATTCCAGTACTCTGCCCTGGTGGGATCCTTGTGAACTGGGGTTGGAGCCTTCAGTAACTTTATTTTTTACAGTAAGCACTCTCTGTAGTTTTTTTTTAACTACGTTTTTTAAATAAAGTTTAGGATGATTTTTCAGGAATCACTGTCAGAGGACAGACAGCCCCTTTAGTTTTAATGCCTTGAATATTAATGATGTTGGAATAAGTACTTTAAACCTTACTCATGAGCACTTACTGCAGCTTAGGGATTTCCATATGTTTCCATATGGAGCAGAAAATTACCCCAGACAAACCATTTTGAATCTGTGCTGCCTTGGGTCAGGTCTGTTCAACGATTCCTTTGGTGTAGCAGGTTTGAGTAGCCAGGTGTGCTGGGTGGTACAGCGAATGTGAATCCAGGCCATTTGTTCAGTTTGCAAGTAGTGTGACATTTTGGTTGTCTTAGCATGATTTTAAGGAGAGTTCAGGTGTGAACCAGTGCTATGCTGAGGAGAAGCTGTACAGAACAGGCTCAGAGCTTCGCTGTCTCCCGTCTCATCACCCTATAGACTAAAGCTTTGTGAATCATAGGAGTTAAATTCGATGAATGCTGCATTAGAAAAGTGGTTGAGGAATGAACATAACATCCTGCTTCTTTGCTCTCAATTCAGTTTCCTAAATGCCATCTTGGAATTGGTCCCTATAACGTTCTGTAACTTTTAGGCAGTCACGCTTGAGCACTTTTTTTTTTTTCCTAAGTTGCATTATGGGATTCATCCACGAGGGGGAAACTACCTTTTTTTCCTTATTAAAAAAAAAAAAAAAGAGGTACCACACCTTCCAGTTCTGATGAGTTGTAATGTACTGGGAGGGTGGAGCACATCTCCAGCAGTTTGATATGGGAAGTTACCAAAAGCACAGCGCGGAGGGGACAGGCGGGGAGTGTGTGTGTGTGTATATAACTATCTTAATGGTATTTTGTTGCAAATAGTAGAAAGCATGGATACAAAACAGCAGAGGGGGAAGCTGTACATCGTTCAATAGGCGTTTACACAGTGAGGGTCTTACGAAACGTTCTCTCCTGCTTTTTATATAACATTCCCTACTTAGAATTCCTTTATAAATGAATGCGCAGTATGTTTGCACGGGAGCTCTTTGACAATGAGAAGAGCTCGTGCTGTAGAGACATTTCAGATCAAGCTTCTCTTTAAAAAAAAAAGAAAAAAAAAAAGAAAAAAAAAAAAAGAAAACTTTTATGGCAGCTTTATATGATTAAAAAAAAAAAAAAGTACTACTTCAAACCTGGAACTGAAGAGATAACTGCAGCAATAACAGAGAGAAGTCCAAAATAGATTTTTCTTTTTCTTTTTCTTTTTTTTTTTTTTCCAATTCAAATTTCAAGTGTTCGATTTAGGTAAAATATTTTTTAAAGACTGAAGTATTCCCTACGTCAGTGACAACTGATGAAAGTGTCTTTTAAATGTAGCAGCAGCAAAATATAAATAGCTAATAATTGGCACCAAAAGCACGTAGCCCTAGTCAGTGGCACGGTGGTTATTAACCAGGCAATTGGAGGGAGAACAGAGAGCCTACTACTAGATCTTGCTATGCTTAAAAGCTGAGATGGCAGTGGTAGATAGGGAAGAAAAATCCTTTCCTTTAGTCCTTCCTTGTGTCGTTTCATCCACTGGAGGAAGAAACAAACCGTAAGTACCACAGTGTCGTAGCATTGTCTGACAATACTTCATGGTACAGAGTTGCATGCCAGGATACCCAGCACTGACTGCTCTTCACACGGTGGGGTGGCTTCGCTGTCACTTGGGCCGTAGGCTGCTGAAGGGATCTGAGCAAGAAATGGTCAGAACTGGCTTGGAATTGCTCCCCAGTGCTTAAGCGTGGTATTAGGCACCATTCATTTGGGTTTGCAACATATTTTTGCTTGAGTAGCTGATGCCACCACTTAACTCCAGGCTTAGAGTCATACCAGAGAGTGGTAATGTGAAATCTCCCATGTAAGGAACATGAGCAGTAGTGATGCTTCAGCTGGAACGTGTGGGGAAAGAGGACAGCTGTGGTCGTCGTTCTTTGCAGTTGCCCAGATGTGGTTTGTGCAGTAGTTGGTAGGTAGCTGGTAGTTGGTATGATCCGTGTGTGGTTTTCTCCAGCAGGTGTCACTGGCCAACCTTCATGTTTGCTGAGGGTCAAAAGCAATCCATGAGTCCTCACGTTGAAGTGTTTGTGAGCGCTTGTCCAAAAAACAGTGCAGAGTAAAGCTCGTTGAGGTGGTTCTTACATAACGTGTCAGCTTGCTAATTTTGTGTCTTATCAATTCTAATGAGATTTGTTGGGTTAGAATGCAATTAAAAGGAGCGACTGCAGCAAAGCTAGGATTGTGCAAGCCTCAAAGAGCACCGAGTTGTTTCTGAAGTAGTGAGTGAGGACAACTTTTAGGGGGTGTGTGTGCTGGGAGAAGGTAAGGGAGGTTTTGCAGAGGGAAAAGAGGGAAGAAGAACAGTGTTTATCTGGGGGATGAGGAAACCTTTTCTTTTGTATGTTGAATATAACACTTAAACATCTGAATTCCACAGGTAGTAGTAAGGGTCCATTTGTGTATAAAAAAACAAAGTTCTAAACAGTGTATGGGCTCTGAAGTTTCAACACCAAGAAAGTGAACATGACTTTTCTAAACTGTTGTGACTTTTGGGCACTTAGCAGGCAAACTGGGAAAGCTTTTTTAGCTGGCTGCTGTACAGACTTGTTTTAAGTAGAATGAATTTGTTAGTGTGTTTCTTTTTTAATTGTAATGCTATTATTGGCTGCCCTCATGTCTAAGAATTGGAAAAGTGAGTGCATGCAATGGAAGTGCAAGAGGCCCCAGTAATAGTTCTCCATGTTTGTTATGAAATAGACACAGGTTTCCTTTTTATGACTTTTTAAAAACTGTCTTACAAACAGTTGTATTGGTACATTATTTTTTTTTTTTTTTAAGTTTAGGTCAATGTTGTCTTCCAGGATAAGTTTTAAGGCATCACTCACTCCTGCATTGAACTACCACATCAACACAAAGAGTGGAGATCCCATTCTGAGCCAGTTCAATTGTGAAAATTCATACTTTTTTTATTTTTTATGCAATTCAATGAGTAGATGAGCTCAGATTTAAATTCTTAAAAGCACGTTTATTGTAACAAGAATTGTTATGTATTAATACTTCAGTTTTCAATAAAGATTGACTTGTGTTGCTTATTGTGGGGTTGTTTTTCGGTGACGTGGTCCACTTAGGAGATGTTCTGCCTTTAAATGAATGAAATCGAAGCGAGGTGCCAAAGTGGGCTTTCTCAGTAGGATTTCTCTGTGGCTCACAGAGCACAGTGATGAGTCTTGCCAGGGTGGAACGTTTGCATTGCCTGACAAAACTGCGACGATGCTGCAACTCTGCCTGGCTCCTTTTCGAGGCGCTTCCTGGGGTTCGGTGGCGCTTTTATTGATGTTTCTGGGCATCAAAGAAGTTTAAAGCAAAGCAAATAAAACTCTTAACATTTCACAACACCACGGAGTTTATTTGATGTCGGGTTACCGGTGTCCCTGAGATGACAGGTGTCGAACAGATAAACCTCAAAGTCAGTATTTTGTATTCTCCAGAGGGAAAAGAATAAGTAGGTGCAATGCATGGGCAGTCTGCTGTTTCCTTAGAGGATGGGTGGGTGTGAATGGCACAGCAGTGGCACTGTGAGCATCTCAGGGGAGGACGGATACCGATGGCATGCGGTGCTGCTTGGACTGACAGGCTGTCCTTGTTCATTCTAGGAACCCAGAAATAGCATACCGAGGAACAGTGCTGTGAGAAGCGACGTGTGGAAGAGAAGAATATTGAAGGGATCCTGTTCTTGAAGTGGCTTCTTGGTGTGAGGGATTTTTTTGTTTGTTTAAATGTCTGTGGGTCTCCCAAGATGGAAGGTCAGCCCACGTCTGCTTTTTCCCAGTTCCCCATTTCATTTCATAATGCCTGTTCCTCTGCTGCTGATTGGTGTGAGTGGCTGTTGGCTCTGTGAAGGCAGGTGTACTGACAAGGGCTGCCCTTGTTGTAGAGGCAGCTTTGAACACTTGGTAGCAGCCAAAGCCATTTCTAGAAAAACAACTATTCCATTAGAGACCATCAGAAATAAAGCTAAAGCAAGTTCTAAGTTTCAGGTTTTCCTGTTAAAAATTAGGGACAAAAAGCAAGTTTGGCTTTTTCTACTACACATTCTTATTTCTCTAGCACACGTTATTACATTTTAAGCTCCAGTGCTCGTTGGTTCATTGATCCAGGCAGCAGAAATAGTTTTGTCGATAGCTGTGCTGCAGTTAGGAGCTGTGTTCTGATCCTCAATAGCTGGGAGTTTTGTAGGAGACATCCATCGCAGTGCTGGTGTAGTAAAGGGTTTTTTGCATTACCTATTTACACTGATGTGCGGGGCGAGCAATTGCTCTCTTGTATTTTATTCCAAAGTCCAGACAGCCTGATAACTATCCTGTCCTGGTAGCCCAGGTTAAGATGGGATCGATGTGATAACTAGGGGAATGTACAGCAGGAAGAGGCGTTTGGTGGCTGCAGGGGGCTGTAGTGCTGCAATTTCTGTGTGCTGGAGGAATGACCTTTGGTTTGGGGCTATGTGCATCTATTTTGTAGTGTTTCACAATAGCTTGAGGTTTTTTTTTTTTCTGGGCAGGAATGGTGCTGGACAATGTGAAACTTCAGAAATAGGAGGGGGGGAAAACCTGTCTGCAGTTACACTTTTCCCAGCCTTACCTTAACAAGGATGAAAGTGAGAAACTATGAAGTGGAGATGAGTGCTGTATCTTCTTTTGTTGCTAGAGCGCTAACGTGGCTGAAGCCGAAGTGTCAGTTTATCTTGACGTGAAGATTTATGTAGGAGGTATATTGCTTCAGGTTGCTGAATGTCAAACCCCAAACCTAGCAGGGCTGGGTAATGGATGTGCAGGCAGGCTGCTGCTTCTGGCACATGGGGGAATCAGTTGTGCAGAACACAGTTACAGGGCTGCGTTTGATCGTCGTGGGTATAAAGGCAGATGTTGTGTCTGCAGTGTGCTATGGGAAGATGACAGAATCAGGCAGGAGTAGAGTTGATAACTTGTTTATTTCCCAACTCACAGATATATATGTAAACAGTCACACACAAAGGTATACAAGTCTGGGGTCAGTATGTGGGTATCTTATTTGCACAGGCTGTGAAACAGAGCTGCTTTGGTAGCAAAGTTGTGCAAAAGAGAAGCTCACCATGCACACCAGGGTGGAGTAGTTGCAGGGAGGAAAGTGGCAGTTAGGCAGAAGGAACAAGCAGCCTCTACTTGCTAATAGTTACCAGCATTGCCAAAGCCATGGGATTTCAGTAATGTAGCTTGTGAAGGAAACGTGGGAGCCGTGGTGAGAAATGGAATACGGTGTGCAGTGCTAATCCCAAGGCAGGGGAAGCTGTGATTGCTGTATGGCCAAGAAGAACCCTTTGGGCATTCCCGAGCCCAAAATAGGCAGCTGTGAATGTAAAGGCAAGTGAAGCCCACGCTGCTGCTGTTCCTGAGCACGCAGGAGGTCGTCCTCCCACCTCCCCCATCTCTGGGCACTCAGCAGAGACGTGGGGATGCGTTCTGGTTTCTGCCAGGCCATGTTTTTGGCTGTGGTCTTATGCTGGCTGAGTTCTGAAAGGAGCTGCATTGATCTGTCTGCACTGCTTCCAACACTGATTCCCTGCCCCGCAGTATTAAATGAACAAAACTGCACCTTCAGTAGGTTCAAATCAACTGAAAACACATCAATTTTTTCCACTTCTGTCCGTTACCAGAGTTCTCACTTTTTAACCCATTACTTACCTGAAAACTTGACACTACGGCCTTACGTAAGCAGGAGCATTGGAGATGGGGACCTTCTGTTTGTATCAGATGTTGTGGCTGAGATCTCAGACCAGCTGCTGTGTGTCAGGTCCTGCTGGCTCAGGCAGAAAGCTGGAGTCACTGTAGGTGCAGGTGAGACTCTAGCAGTTGAATGAAGCCAGAAGAGCTTCATTTCATTCTTACAGCCTTTGGACTTGATGCTGTCCTGTATTCGCTGCGACAAGGTACTGTCAACCCACAATCCTCATTTGTAGGCAGATGGTGAGGTTTGAAGACAGTTGTAGCAATAAGAGTAACATCAGAAGTGGGATTTGCTGTCAGCTGTAGCACCTCACAGATGCTGACAATGTTATTCTTTTTCTGTACTGCAAAAGATGAAGGAACTTAAGAAAAGCTCATTTCTGTCTCCAGGCATCCAAAGAGATGCAGTGTTTTCAGTCTGAATCCAGGATTGCCTTGGATGCCCCTTACTCACAGATGACTGCCATGGAGGCCTGGCTTGCTGAGAGATTTAGGAAGCTCAGCCACCCAGATGCAGGCAGTGCCCAGACAGCTGGGGTTGTTCACAGCGAGGCCATGGATGAGGCCAGATAAAAGAAGGGCTTTCACCTCCCTGCACCCCACAGCATTTCAGGTAAAGATCTTAAAGATTATAGAATCCTAGATCTTAAATGTTGCTTCTGGGAAGTGATTGGCTCTATGGGAACGGATGTCTTTGAACCTGATTTAAATGTTAAAAAAAAAAAGACTTGTACTGCTTTTGATGCTATCATAACTGGAAGCATTCTTTTTTCCAGTGTCCAACTCCATAATTCCAGACCGATAACACAAAATAGAGATTCTTTTTTTCTTTAAAAGGTAGAAACTGAGTTATTAGCAGCCACTCTTGGTTGGAGTGGCAGCTTCAGCAAGCCATTCTTGTGACTGGTTCACATAAACCCATGCATTGCCTGAGTGGAGTCTGCCCAGGCTTTGCTCATTGGGAAACACAACTGCTTTTCACAAGATTTTTCCCATGCACTTAACTACAGGAGGGAAGAGGGCAGACACAGCCAGAAACAACCAGGACAACCCAACAGCCCCTGGCTCGAGTGGAGTGGTTGCTGTTCAGACTCAGTGCAGGAACTTTGGATTTTTCATTTTGGTTTGGTTTGGGTTTTGTTTTTATGAGTTTTTGTTTGTTTGTTTGTTTTTTGCATGGAAATGTATGTTTCTGGTCATGCAGAGGGTTCGTCTCCAAAGGAGGGGAGGTGAGTATTGCAGTTTTGTCTCTCTGCTTGGTCATGCTTCAGGTGGACTTCTCTGGTGAATCTGAGACAGTTCTGCCTGGTATGCTCAGAAAGCTTGAAGCTTGTCACTTAACCTGTTGCTCATATGTCAGAAAACCCCTTTATGATGAGTTTGGGAAGGTCTACGAGGTCACCACCTAGCGTGCACACACAGAAAGCTCGTAAAGCTTGCGTCCTTTGCATGCATTCTCTCTGACAATTTTGCTTGACAGTACAAGGCTGAATGCCTCCATCGAAAATCCAGGTGAAAGATGAGCAGGGAAGTGCAGTATCGGTTACTTTGTTTAGCACATCTTTATAGCACGTGTACACTTGACCATTGATTCAGTAAGAATTTAGGAGATGAGATGACTTGAGTGCATGACCATCTGAAATCAGTGGAGCTAACACGAGATTGGATACGCGGTTCACTCAGGAAATAACAGGTGTTGGTGAAGTTGGTACTGGATAGGAAAAAAGGAGGTCATTCCTTGATGAAATCCCGTGCAGAGGCACAGATGGGTGTGCAGATGTGGGGGTGTGGTTAAGCTGAGCAAAGCGAGTTGGATTCTTACCTGTTAATTAGTGCTGTAACTCCACCTGCTATGTTACAAGCTTGCCACTCTTTCTGTGTGATCAAATTTTGTACCTGATTTCAGTCTTGCATAGGGAATCAGATCCTCTCTCCAATTTTTCCTTATAAGAGCAGGATCCCAACTGAAGCCACTGTATTAAGAATATTACTGATAGGCAGTCTCAGGGAGAACGAATTTCTCTCTGCTGTAAATAAATAACTTTTCTTTCACTGGGATGATGTTTGGCTGGAGAAGTCTGTTTTGGCACTTACAAATATTTCTATAAAGTCTCTCTATATAAATTTTCTGTGTGCACCGGTGAGATGAGATATGAAACAAGTTCTGGAAAAGGTGGCAAGTAATCTGGCAACTCCAGTGATTTGATGCGTATGTACTAAGTATTGCTACAGAGGTGCCAGTAGCCAGCTCTTAGCTGTGTGTTGGTGTGGGGATGTCTTTTAGTGCACCAAGAACCTGCAGAGCATTGGGTGCTGTGTAGTTTGTGCTGTTCTCACCCCATTTCATTCAGTAGAATAGATGGGAATTTGTACTGGAGTGACTTCAGTGTAGACTTAAAAGTGCCGTGTAGTACAAAATACACATTAAAAACAGGTATCAGAAGGTGCAAATAGGCCCTCAAATGGGTGCAGTAACTTTTTTCAGAGTATGGCTGGTCCTTTGCTCAACTGGGACCCAGAGTTTTTGGAGAACCTTCGTCCTTGAGCGCTCGCAGCAGCCTTGGCTGTGAGCAACCTGAAGCAGTGTGCCACTGAGGCTTATTCCAGGACGTGGTGTTGGGATTGCACCACATCGACTCCCAAAGCCCCTTCTGGCCTGGGTCAGGCTGCCTTAACCCAGCATTCCTCCCCCTCCCTTGAGTACAGAGCCCCTAACCTCAGAAAATGGATCGATCCCGTGCCAATGCATTTTTCTTCCTGGCCAATCAAAACAGACATGGAAGAGGAAAGGAGAGGTGCAGACATTCAGGGTAAACACAAAAGTTAACGATTGCCTTCTGTTATTTATGCATGCTTTCTGCAAAGCTGACCCTGTCGTGGTGGGTGCAGTGCACTGAAGGTAATCATTCAGCATTCTGGGTACTGTGAAGTCCAACAGGAATGTTTCTGTGCTCAGCACTTCGGAGGATGAAACTCACTCGTGCAAGCCCGGTAATGGTGGCCTGTTCCTCAGAAAAACAAGTGTGCACGTGCAAAGGGTGAATGAGAAATGGTGCTGTGCTCACACCGGGCAATGGTGCAGCTGCAGCTGGGGTTGTGGCCACATTCCCATGGCTGCTGACAGCAGTTCAGCCCAGGAGGTGACTCAGGGCATACAGGGCATGGGCCTGGCACTTCAAATTTTGCTATTTGCGGAGGAGGAAACAGCGGAGCTTTACTGCAGTGCCTTCTTACAGAGTCAGATTCCTCCCACCACGCACCCCCAAAGTCCTGAAACCTCTTTCCTTCCAGCGATCAAGACTTTTGTTTCTTATTTCAGGCAGCCCAGCCCAACTGCTGCTTCTGTGCTCTGACTGCAGGATGCTCCAGGCCATGGAGAGCACAGAGAGGGGGCACAAGGTGTGCAGGCTGAAGGAGCAGGAGCTGCTGAGAGGGGAAGGTGCTGAGCACTGTGAGGTTAGCAGTGCAGATTTTCCTGTTTTTTCCCCCCGTTTGTGTTCACTGAACTGTGCTTGGTTATGCAGTGTTTAAAGGCCATTCCTGTAAATGCCCCAGTGCCTTGGTTTCCTGACTGCTGCGTGCCACCACAGATGCATTTTTGGCAATGCCAGAACAGATCTGCAAATGATTATACTGGTTCAAGTTACTGCAAGGCAGGCAGAAAGCAGCTCAAGAATGTGTCTTGCTTGGTAAACCCTGTTTTCCTGCTGCTTGGAGAGATGTGGAGGGGGAGGGAGAGCACTGCACCTTCACAGGCAGGCAGCTTTGAGAGTGGAAGGGTTTTTTCATGTGGTTTCTTATCACCACTCTCTGAAGCACTGCATCAGGTGGGGATGTTGCATCTGGTTCTGCCTTGCAGAAGAGCGTGGAGTTGTGTGTTTTCCTGGAAGCAGTGACAGCAGACTGCAGGTGGGCAGGGCCCATAAGGAGCAGTTGTGTTCTCGGCCAACCTTCAGCTTGCTGATCCTCTCTAATTCCATATTACTCAGAGTAAGCTTACTTATCACCTAAGGTTTTACTGATGTTTCCTTGTCATTTTTAACTAGAAGGAGGCTGGGAGTTAGGTGCTGCTGACTTGCTAACCTTAATCCATGTTCTGAGTGATGGGAGGGTGCATCTCTTGTACTACGTCTCACTTCCACCTGCCTGCCCTCTGTGGTTGGCTTCACTGAGGCCTTCTAGCATGGTTCTGCTGCTGAGCAGCACATTCTAGGTTACGAGAGGAACAATGGTTTTGAAGAAAAACAATTTTACATGGATAAGACACGTCAGACACAGACAGAGTCACTTTTACAAGTTTCTTTATGAAATTAAATGTAGCCCCTGGTCTGGGGAGAAGATATAGTGCAAGAATGACTTTGTACATGCTACTAAATTCAGATGTCCCTGGATGACCAAACTTCAGTAAGCTACAGCATCAAACACCAGACCTGGGAGCTCAGCAGGCAGTTAGTGCTCATTTACAGTAGCATCATGTTGGAACAAAGGAGTGCCTACTTTCTGCTGTCACAAGATGTCTCTAAGCTAGGGAATTAGGTCAGTATGGCTTCTAACGCTCACTAAGGTAAGGCAAATCTTTCTTTTTGCTAACCAAGGTACAGATGAGTTTCTCTTGGCCACCATTTGAAACTTGGGTACCTAAAGTGAGGCTTTCAGTGCCAAAACTTGGCCAGTTGTAAGTAGCTTTAGGATGTCTGTTTGTAAAGGTATCAAAACCCTCTAATAATTTGAGTCTGTGGAAGTTTGCATAACAGTTGTGGTTTCAGTCTTTCTTTTGCCATTGAACTGCAGACTCTGACTTCTGGGAGCGGTTTGCAAATATTGATCTTTTGTTATTTAAAAAATAAAAATAAAACAGACAAAACAGGCATTGAGTTAACAACTGACAAGAACAATTACAGACTTACAAAATGCACAGTTCTGGTTTATACCATAAATAAACACATTACAAACAATGAGCATTTTCATTGGCCAGGAAATATGGCAGAATGATAGAAGAGAATCTAAGGAGTTGAGTACAGTATCAATTTAGGCACATTTTTCTCTAACTTATGTAACGAACCCACTAGAGCGATTCCTGAACGTTACTCATGCTGCAGGTTGGTTGGCACCGTTTAACAAACTATATTGTTCATCAGTGTTGCTGAATTAAAGGGAAGAAAAGGGTCACAGTGCAATACTCACTGTTGTCTCGTCTGAGTGCCAGCAGAGGCTAACTGAGTTAGTTAGAAGGGTGGAGAAGGATCGTGTCCTTGAGGTGAAAGGTGGGAAACAGAGAACGGAAGGGTTTTGCTCCTCCCTGCAAAACATACAATGTCAGCAACACTGAGCTGTTGTTCTGAGCATGTCAGCGGGGGGCAGAGCTGGTAGGCTGAGCAGCTGCCAGACAGCAGCGGTGTTCACAGCAGAATGGAATGATTCAAAGTACAGCTGACAGGCAAAACCTTTTCAGATGAAACAGATCAGGCTCCATTCTCATCTCTTCCTGGAAGTCTGTCTTTTGAGTGCTGTGCAAGGCTGGCTCGCTGGGACCTAGCACAGATGCACACGTGTGCGAGCACGCATGCAGCCTCTCACCTCAGAGCCAGGGGGTCAGTTGGTCTGCAAGATAAATAGAGAAGGCAGGAGCACACGTGCCATCCTCTGTAAACAAAGGATTGGAAGAACCTGGGCTCCACCTCCTAGGACTGGTGGATAAAGTGCTTTCTCAGAAGGGGTTCAGGCACAAACGCGGGGCTGTCCTCATTTCCGGAAGGGTGTCAGCCTGCTGATGTTCTGCCAGAAGTTCGAGGGTTTGCGCTTGGGCTCTGCCAGCATGAAGACCTGCTGCTGTGGGAGCGTGGTAGGCAGGGTGGGATGCTTCTGTCGCATCAGGAAGTCATAGTATGGCCTGGTGACAGCTGTGACAGCAAGGAGACAGCAAAGCACGTGAGTTGAGCACACAATCCCTCCCCATACCCATTAAAGCTGCGGGACAGTGAATTTGATTTGCCTCAGCATTGCTCTCAATTTCAGCGATGTTGGTGTTACGGAAGTCTCAGAAATGCCAAGCGTAGCTGACAGATGTTCTGTCAACAATAAGGGGCAGCTAAACAGCGGTAGCTCATTGCTAGTGACAAACTGATGAGCATACTCAAGTGCCTTTACTTCTTTATGACATCCTGCACTGGTAAAAGCATGGGGAAATCCACAGCAGTGGAGTTTTAGCAGGCAGAATTGCTCTATTGAACCTGAAGAGCCACATCCGAGCACTGTCCTTACAGTTCAGAAAAGAAACAAAAAAACAGACTTGTTCTGGGTACTGGATGAAGTGCTTCTTTCTGACACTGGTCCCCAGGTAATGCTATGAACTCTTAGTTTGAACTCAGTAGAAGAGAGCTGTAGCAGCCACAGCAAGAGAGGTAACCAACTGGATCTAATAGAGGCTCATGGCCACCAGGACTTGGTAGAGACAAGACTGTGGAGTCCTGTCTGGAGACAATATTCCTTTGAAGACAGCTGAAGGGATGGTGCTGGTAGGAATGATGGAATGTTTGGAACTTACTAGAAAGAGCAAGAGTGATTTGCAATATGGAAAATTAAATGGCAGGACAATTCTGAAAACAATTGTGGAGAGATTGCAGAGTGATCTGATTATATATCAAGCAGTTCTCTGATGCTAAATATTCATCAGTGTATGGCCTTCAGTCTCCTTGATGGATTGTGCTGGTAAATATAAGATGCCTTGTTTACAGTTCTTCATTCTTGGATGAGAATGATTTCAGTTTTCTGTAGATCTGCAAGCTGAGAGTGACTGCTTCAATTTGCTCCCTACCTGTTTCACAACTCTGTGACCATGAGAACCCAAACCCAAGCACTGTAACACAGCAGCAAGTAGTCACTACCTTAAGTCTTTAAAATATATATTAAAAAAAAAAAAAAAAAAAGAGGCAAAGCCTTCAAAAGACATATATTAAACAGCAGCAGTGTAAAACAGAAATGCCATCACCAGAGCTAGCAGCATTTCTGTGCTCAGGAGTGACTCACCCTTTGGCTTCCCAGTGTGGTGCTGCTTGCTGGCATTTAGCATTGCTTGCTTCTTCTGCATCTCTGTGATTGAAAAACCTTGAAGATAAAAAGAAGGGCTGTCAGCAGCAGCTCATCACGTTGTACCTCAGGGGAGCATGCTTGCAGAGGCAGTAAGAAAAACAGGTTGGAATGTGTCTGAGGTGGGAGGTCACGAGTCAAAATTCCTCCCAGAGGTGCACAGCTCCCCTTACCTGTGCTGCAAGGCTCCCTGCCTGCCTGCACCCCTCCCTGCTGCCTGACAGAACCAGGTCAGAGCAGTTGCAGCTCAGATCTCATTAGATTCCATGTCTGAACTAAGCACTAATTGGACAAAAACTTGAAAATCCTCTTGCACCTCTGACTGAATGTATTCTGTGCAGATGCTGCTATGTCAAGCTGTCTCGCTTTCAGCTGGGATAGAACTGGTTTTCTTCAGTGCCTGGTATGATGCTGCTTTGGTTCTGTGAGAGAAACAGCATTGATAACACATCAATGTTCACAGCTGCTGCTAAGCAGTGTTGTACAGAGCCAAGGCTGTTCTCAGCAAAGGATCTAAGGAGCTGGGAAGGAACTGAGTGAGGACAGCTGCCTTAACCTGGCCACAGGGCTATTCTGTAACACATGGCAATGTGTGGAAGGGATTTTGAATGGGGTTCATCTCTCTCTCGCACTCTCTCTCTCTCTCTCTTCCACTGTTGGGGAACAACTTGTGCATCACTTGTTACATACATTCATATTACACACACACACATAGCCATAACTACTATCCTCCTCCTTCTCCCTCTCTTAGTGAACAGTTTTATTTCAACCCCAGAATTTTACTTTTTTTTCTCCCCTGTTCTCCCCCCCATCCCCCTGGCAAGGGGAGCAGTGTGCAAAGGGTTGTGTGGTGCTCAGCTGCCTGCTGGGTGAAACCACAACACAAGCTCACATGCTATACCACAAAATAATCGAGGTTCTGTGTGACTGCATTGAGTATTTTGCCAGTCCTACCTCAACTCATTAAAGACACTGAGCTCTGTGAGGACAGCGTACTGCAGTGTCTGTGAGCACTGTGGTTTGTACCTCATTCAACTGCATACATTCATTCAGCATGTTACAGTCAGCAGGCCAGAGCATGGATTACACCCCCACGGCCCCCTAACTCCTGTGCAATGGTCAGCATTCAAAAAAACACATCGCCCCCACTGAATCACAGCTCTGCTTTTTGTACCTGTCTCCTGGTCGAGCTGAACCTGTCTCCTTTCATTCTCAAAGGCCTTCAGCCAGCGCTGTTTCTGCTCAGGCTTTTTTGCACAGAATAAGTGGACCTCCTCAGTGTCGCGGCAGTGTAATTTAAATGCATTTTTCACACTGATGCTGAAGTCCTTGTCCTTTCCATCTTCTATGTCCAGGATTTCCATGTCATCCATGTTGATCCGACTTTTATAATACAAGATGTCCCGGCGCAGAAGGTCCTGTAAGAGATCACACAATTATACAGATTTGTGTTTCTTGACCTCTCCATGCCATAAGCACACATTTTCTTTGAGATGCTGGAATACTCAATCTTTTTGTTGGGCACTATAATGCTGTAAGATTTGAATCTCTGGAACTGAGGAGTGCTAAGCTCCTACTGTTTGCATTGACTGGAATCATTTGATTTCTTCTGTTGGTGGGGTCAGGATAACAGGCTGGCATCTCCACTTTTGGGGTGCCATCAGCTACATTCAAGCACTCTGGATCTGGTCTCAAATCCCCATTAAGCTGCTATAAAAAGCAGTATTTGCATGCTGCTTTCCATGTCAGCAAAAAAGAAATCCTAATTAGTTTTTATTTTTCACATTGCCCATTAAATGTGTTTAGAGCATGAAAAGTGTCAACAGCAGCGATAAAATGATTCCTGAGTTACCAGAAACTACCTGCTTGCCACACAGTATGGAAAAAAATGGCATGTTCAGTTCTGAAATTCCAGTGGAAGATACCTTACCTTTGCTTGACCAAACAATATTTCAACAACAATATTTCAACAGATACACACCTGCACTGTGTGTGAACAACAGCGAGGCAGTGCTTCTGTCTCCTCTATAAGGACTTGGCCAGCAGTTAGTGTATTGCTCTGCTCAGGTGCACCTGGCTCTGGGGCACCAGAGGAAAAGCCACACTGAATGCACATCAATCTGTGCAAGAAGCACACACGATGCAAGCAGAATTAAGTATTATGGATTCAGATAGAGAACAACTGGAAACGGACAGGGGAAGTGGACTCAAATGTTCAGCATTGTAATAGTATTTGTATTTGACTACTCAGGTTACCTTCTTGCAGCAGACAAGCTGGTGATCAAAGAGGAAGAACATCCTCTGTTGGCTCTTGGCTTGAGGGTGGGAGACTTTGGTTAATTCTCCGGAATAGATGAGTTCTGAGCTTCTAACGAGAACATCTTCACCCTGAGAGCAGCACAAAGAAGAGCCTGGTGACTGGCCTGTGCCATCCCGAAACAAGGGAGGAGACATAAGCCTGTAATCTCACAGGGCAATGTCAGTGTGGTCATGCAGCCTAAAACTCTGCTAGTGAAACACTTTTCCAGGAGCGAGAAGGGGCCGCTGTGCTGGAGAAAAGGCCTTTTTATATCAAGACAGTTGCTGTACTCTTGGTACCCAGTGAATGGAAACTGAATTTGACTTGCTTTCTGGCACAACCTGCCCTAGGGAAGCTGTTTTAGCAGGGCGTTGGACTTATGGGAGCTCCAGAGGTCCCTTCCAACCCCTATGGTTCTGTGATGCTGTACGATTAGAGCAATACTATGTTAAATGAAAACTCTCCTTTGCAAGGGAAAAGCCCCAAGCAGCTGATCCATCGCTGGCATTAAAGAAACCACATAAGAAGATAGCTGATAATTTAGCCTGACATTTCGGATAGAGAAGGGCTGGTTTTATTGAATATAGGCTTCAAAAAAATGAGAAGATTGGGGTCTCTTGGGGTTGGGAAGTTTTTCCACACACGGGGTGGTGAGGCACTGGCACAGGTTGCCCAAGGAGGCTGTGGATGCCCCATCCCTGCAGGCATTCAAGGCCAGGCTGGATGTGGCTCTGGGCAGCCTGGGCTGCTGGTTGGTGACCTGCACACAGCAGGGGTTGGAACTGGATGAGCGCTGTGCTCCTTTGCAACCCAGGCTGTGCTGTGATTCTGTGATTATTATTTTTTTTTTCTTTTAAATCATTTTCATGTTGAGCCTACAGGCATTTTATTCTTCCATCTTCTGAAGAATAATGTGCCTTATTAAGCACTAAGGGTTGATTCTGTCCACACTGACCATTTTGACCTCAGCAAAATGGGTGAGAAAAAGAGAAAAACACAATTTTGTCAGACCACCCTCTAATTTTATTTCAGAAGGAAAATGGGGAAACAAAGAATCCCAGGGGTCAGGGAGAAGGTGGCTGGTCTAGATGGGTTATATGGTAGACCTTTTCATTTGTACTGAAAGATGACAGCTTTGAAACAATAAAACATCAGAAAAGCAATTCACAGAGTAGCAGAACTGAGCGAAATCCTCACAGAGCTCTTACAGGAGGGAAATGAACGCAATGCATTCAGTTCCTAGGAAAAGTAAGTCTGCCTTACCTCCCAGTCTTCTATGGAGCTTTGCCACTGAGCAATTTTGTCGATGTTCTCCAGTCGCCGCTTTCTCTCGTTGATGAGCCGAGCAACGTTCTTCATGGCATTTAAGGCAGCTTCAACGTCTTTAAAATCCCTAGGGTAGGGCAGAGCGTGTGTGAGAAGGATGCCTTGCTGCAGGCAGCTTTTCAGAAGCATGCTGCTTTGGACACGCAGATTTATACAGTTGTTACAAATTCAGGACCAGTGTGTGGATGGGCAGGATGCGAGTAACGACATTCAGCTGCAGAGCTGTAAACACTTGTGGATGAATCGACCTGCAAGGCTTTGCTTGTTACCCATCATGATACAACAGATTCATAACACTATTGCTTTCATATAAGGATTGATTCTGTCACATACAGACAAGACAGTTCAGATTTGGCTTGATTTCAAATGGGGGCTGTTGGAGTGTTTGGGAGGATGGGGCAGAAGCCAATGCACTCCCCATACACCGCCCTGGAAGGAGCTGCTCTGCACAGCACAGCTTAATGCAATTTTCAGACATCCAGGTGCTGCATTAAGGAGCTGTATCTTACGAGATCAACATCAGGACAGCATGCTTATAGATGTAATAACTTACACATAAAGCAGTTGAGAAATAGCAGTGCTGATTTAATCAGGTGTTGAAATTAAATAAGTTGTCACAGTGGGCCGTTAGCAACACTCTCTTTAATATAGTTTTCCATGCTTTATTCTGTGGCTTATTATTTTTCTTGCACAATTAATTGAGACAAAAGCAATGCCTTCACCCTGAAATGGAGCTCTGGGTTTGTGGGCTTCTGAGCTAGGGCAAGAATTCACTGAGTGCACGTGGCCTGATGTTGTAGGCCATGAGTTTCCTCAGGGAAAGCACCAAACAGAACTCAAGACTGCCTCTCAGCCTTGACATGCTGTACATGTGTGGGTACATGGATGTTCTGGGCTATAATAACCAGTGCTTTTGGAGGCAAAGCTGTCAATAATATCATCCCAGGAACAAACTCCAAAGTCTGTGTGTGCTGGTATCTCAGATATGTGGGCCAAGGAAACCAGAAAAGCACCACAATGAAAGGAACTTAATAACATCAGGTCTCTAACAGACAGGGAAGCCCAGTGCTACTGTCATTGAAAGTTACGTATTTGATGGAAGAATGCTTTTTTTTCCTGGTTCCTACAAGATATCAGCAGAATCACAGCACTGGCTGCACTCAGCAAGCTGCCCTCAGCATGCAATTACGTGTCAGCCTCAGTTTCCACAAGACAGGTGTTGCCATTCTGCTTCCCACCACGCTGACCTACCTGTGCTGAGGGTTGGTGTATTTGAGCAGTTCAGCCAGCTGCAGTGGGTACTTGCAGATTTTCTGCACTGGTGTCAGCAGAAACCCATCCAGAGAGATGTCAATCATCTTCTGCAGCAAGCGGCAGGCTTCGAAGAAGTAGACGTACTTGTTAACTTTGGTGAGGCGGGAGAGCTCCATGCAGGCGTTGGGGTGGTTGTTGCAGTACTCAGAGTAGATCTGAAACTCCGTTTGCTGTGAAGAATCACAGAACCACAGAATGGCCTGGGTTGCAAAGGACCACGATGATCACCCAGTTCCAACCCCCTGCTGTGTGCAGGTCACCAACCAGCAGCCCAGGCTGCCCAGAGCCACATCCAGCCTGGCCTTGAATGCCTCCAGGGCTGGGGCATCCACAGCCTCCTTGGGCAACCTGTGCCAGTGCCTCACCACCCTCTGGGTGAAAATCTTCCTCCTAATATCCAACCTAAACCTCCCCTGTCTCACTTTAAAAGCATTCCTTCTTGTCTTATTGCTATCCACCCTTGTAAACAGCTGTTCCCCCTCCTGTTTATAAGCTCCCTTCAAGTATTGGAAGGAAATGAGGGGATTGACTATCTGTCTTTCTCTGAGTGATGGCTCTGAATCTCTCACAGCGCGCTGTGGGATAAATGATGTGCTCCCCTGGCATTCTGAAGCTGTCAGACCTGATGTTTGTGGCTAGCAGAGTGCTTGCACAGCTTACCTGAGAGAGAGCTCAACCTGCAGCCAGGAGAACTAGGGGTTACTTGGCTGGGGGGAGGTTAAACAGAACTTGTCAGATCAATTTCCTCTGTCCTAATCCCTGCTCAGCTACCCCTGCCCATAAGTCAAATGTACTTACATATTCCAAGAAACAGGAGCCAACCTCACTTAAATGTGGGTGGTCTTTGTTGAATTTCTTCTCCAGTGCTTTAACAAATTTCTTCTGGCATCTGTAGATGTCTTCAATATTCCCAAAGATTGTCTTCAGCTGTTCTTCTGTAAACATGTCGGCTCTTTTGCGGCACTGCTTAATGTAACCCTAAGAGGAAACCAGATGAGAAAGCATGCTGGGCACTGACTCAGAGGTGCTAGGAGAAAACCCCAGTACTGCAATTAGCTGTGCTTCAGCTGCCCCTTCCTTCATAGTGCATCCATGCCTTAGGCTATTATTTCTTCTAATGCCACCCAAAATATGGTAGAAATAGGAATCAGCCCACAGTCATATCACTGCCTTAAACGATGCTGTAACCCGCACTTGAAGGATCCCAGAGCTGCTTTCTCTCCTGTAGAAAACAGCTTTGTCTGCAGGCTATGGGGTTGTGCTGGCCACTGCACTGACAACTAAATCCAGCTGAGGATCTGGTTTGGATGCTCACGTTTGCAAAGGCCTGGTTGAATCAAGGGAGAAGGAGGTGACAAAGGGAATTCTGAACTCACCAGGAGGAAAGGGGGTTTGGTGTGTGCTGCTTTTCCCCAGCTGGCTCTCCTGGAGGGCATGGTTTTGTGTCATTGTAGTGAAAAAAATCTATGTTCCTTCAAACTCGTTCTCAATTACCTTAATTTGCCCCAGTGTATCTGACAGCGTGTCACTTCTGGAAGAGGTGTCAGAATACTCAGCATATTTGGAAGTGAAAGATCTTATTGGCTGAATGTCCCCCAGTTGTTTCGATCTGAGCATAACTTGCCTGAAGGCTGGAGTTGCTGACTGTATTACCTCAGAACAGATACTAAGGAGGACAGCAGTGCTAGACGTTTACTTTTCTCTGTCTTGGGAAATGCAATTAATTCCGTTTAATCAGAGCCCAACTGGATGCTCCCAAAACAGAGGCATTTGGGATGTTGCTGTAATGAATTGGCTTCTGTTTTCTGAGCGTGCAATGTCATGTAGCAGAGCAGACACTGATGGAAATGCCATTAGTATTCAGAGGAGGAAAGTTACCCACTTAGGAACCCTCCACCTGGGCACAAAACAGAACACCCTATAGTTTCCTTTACAGAAGTCCTTGCATTCACTTCCCCCTTATTCCTTTACCTCACAAATGTCCTTGAGATGCTTGATGTAGTCTCGTTCTGTGCTTATGATCTCATTGATAACGTTGGTCCTCATCTGGTCTTTGGTGGTCTGCCCCATCCCAAAGCGCCGGGTGCCACTGCTGGAGTCGTCGTCTTTGCCACCCTCCACCTTTACAGGGTAATCTTCCATGGGTTCATCCTGGTTCACTCGGAGCTGGACGGGACACACAACACATTGCCATTCACATTGCTACATACAGCTCATCCAGAGAAAGGAGAGCTGACTGAGTGCTGGACAAGGATTGAGCTGGGAAGGGAGTGAAGGGGAATGCTGTGTAACACTGAGGTAATATTACCTATAAACGTATTTTCCCATGATAAGCAATATGTAAGCGTATCTCCCCAGAATGTAAGGCCAGACAGATGAAGTTCTGTCTACACTACATACAAAATCAGGACAGGAAATGGCTTATCAAGAGAAATCTGCCTGTGTACTCACGAGGGGGCTCTTATGGAAAGAGAAGGGAGCAAGTAAATATTTGCTTTTTCTTGGAGCAGTTTTATTGTTATTCCCATACTGTACATAACAGAGGCCCTCTCAGTACCCGCTTCCCCAAGATTATCTACAGATAACTTGTTTTTTAATTTTCAAACAAATACAGATGCCAGTGAGCATGCAGTGCAGTGCAGAATGGCATTACATTACAGAGCTGTGTGTGCAACTCGTGGTTCCTTCACATTGCCCATGAGATGGCAGCACAGTGTGAGCAGAGCCAAACACCAGCAATTTGTAGACCTGCTCTGCAGAATCTGTTTTGTTAGCAGTACCAAAGTACCTTAATTAATAGTGAGAAATTTATTTGTGCATTCCACTTGCAAGTTTTATTTCCATAGAAGCATTGCTGCTGCATATTCAGTAGCTCTCAGAGCACCCATGGGAATATTCTGTACACAAATCATCAATCTCAGCACAAAGAACAAATGAAAAGCTCTGAGGCAGCAACATGTGTAAATAAAAGCAGTGTTGGTACAGTAACAGATCTGCTGTAAGCTTTTCATGTAGCCTCTTCTAGTCAGGATTATTTACCTCTTTGTGTACACTTATCTCTATGAAAGATGCATACCCATCCCTCGCCAACATAGGCATAGATTGCACTGACTCACTGCCTACAGTAGGTGAAGCCCCCCAGATGTGCAGTCTGGCCTTTCTTTCACTGTGAGTGGAACAACATGGCTGGTCTTAAGCTCAGACTTCAGCCTGGAACTTGTTTGGAGTAACTGAGAGCCCTACACTGCCCCTCCCAGCAGTAAGCTTGAGACCTGGTGGTAATTAGCAGGAAATCTTCAGTTGGTTGCTAAGAGTAAGTGGTGTAATTGCTCTGCTAAAATAACTTGTTATTCTGCATCCCTGCATGGTAGCACCAGTCTGATTTCCCCTGGAATACTGCTAGAGGTTTTTGCCAGCCAGGACAACAGCCTGTCGGTAATATGAAAATAAAAAAGGAGCGTGTTTTGACTGTGAAAAAGCAGTTCTGTCCCCACTACTGCTGAGAATTTGGTCCTAGCAATCTTACTTGCAAAACCATACACTGTTTGGAACAATCATCCAGCTGAGACAGTTTCTCAGAAGCTATACCAAGTGTTTCACAGCTTCTAGAGCTTCTGCTCTGCTTCTCCAAGGACCTTTGCTACAGACACCAGATTACTTCCTTTCATGCTTCACCTGATTTTGGGTCACTTATGATCTAAAGTGACCCAGATTAGAAGCTGAGCTGCTAAGAATCTCTCTGCCCTTAGGCACCTAATCGCCTGTGCAGCGCTCACACCCTAACACAATGAATGCTTTCAGACATCCTCACCAACAGGCAAAGCCTGAACAAAAGGACAGCAGTTTTTCTCCTTGCAGAAGGAAAGGAGTGCCCAGGCTCTAATTTTACCTCCCCAACTTGTACAGAGAAGTCAGATGTGTTACAGAAAGCAGTGCTGGAAATGGATCTAACCTCTGCTCTGTGTAAGCGGAGGCTGTCTGGATTGCTCTACACAGCTGTCTCTGTATAGGCACTTATTGGTGCCCTGCTCATCTGTACTGTCTGAAGTGACCCCTAGAGCAAAGACCTGTCTGCTGTGTGTGGGACTCCACTAGGAGCATTTGTTGCTCACTCCTAAAGGTGATGCTGGGTGCTTAGATACAGACTAGCCAAGTTTACAACATGGGTAAGGAGCACCAGGGTGTCAAACCACCATGCGGGCAGCTCCTCAGCTGGCACAGCTCAGCTTAGCTCCAGAGCATACAACTAAACCTCCTTTGCTCTGATTTACTGCAAAGAGGGAGTTCTCCACACTGATGGCATCTCATCTGGGAGGGCCCAGCGTACAGTGACCCAGCACAGAGCAACAGAGACAAGCACATGTGGAACAACTATCCCAGAAGTCACAGTGCTCAGCACTCACTGAGGAACTCAAAATCTCGGGAAAAAGAACATCCAGTGGTAACGAAGAGGTATGGAAAAAGCCATCAAAATCTTACCCGTACAAAGCTGGCTGGAAACCAGCCTTCACTGTCCAGAATCCTTCCCCACCACCACTCCTTGTTGGTAGCATCCATTACTTCAATGACATCGCCAGCCTTGAACCCCAGCTCTTGGTCGTCCATCGTGACATGGTCCCAGAGGGCTTCTGCATACACCACGCTGCCATCGCTGATGAGCTGTGGACAGAGCAGGTGAGGCTGTTAGCTGCCCAACAACAGCAGTGCAGTCAGAGCGGCCGCAGCTCTGGGGCGATCGCTGCTGAGCCAAACCAGGTGAGCGCTGCCTGCTGCTCGCTCGCCACCACACACGTGAGAAGGAGCTGGTGCCAGGCTGGCACGTGCTTTGGCTGACCTTGCTCTCAATAGCACTCATTCCCAATCCCTCGGACACAAGTGTAAATTTGATATTCTGGAATTAGTGCCTCTGTGAGCAAACAGGGCTCCGCAGTAGCACATTGCCAGTGGAGGATGCTCTTGTGCTGCTAGCACAGCCCTGCTATGGAAAGCCTTGAAATAAAAGCTTGAGTGTCAATATTTTTAGAGACGTACTTCAGAGCAGAAAGTATTCTGAGGCCTCAGAGCTGGCCTAGGACAGAGAGAGCTTTAAATCTTTAGAGTGGTTAAACATAGCACTTAAGCCGCTTAAAGTAAGTCTCCTGGAGAGTTCAAGTAATTATGCTGAGGTCCAGCAGTTATTTACAACACATCTCATAGAGGGTCTATTCTAGAAAAAAGGAATCCTCAGCAATTAAATACATAATCCAAACCAAAGTGCCAACATGACTAGGAGGGAGCTCTTGAAGGCAGTGATGATGGTGTCTGTAGGTAGGTGATGCCATTCCCAGCCATCCACCTTAGTTGTGGTGCAGCTGGTTGTAACCTGGTGCTGCTGCTCTGTGACAGACCTGCCCAGCACCCATGGGTTGCCATGTCAGAGCCTCTGCTGAACTGCAACTACAGATCATGCACCAACCTCAAAGCCTGGGCAAAATGAGGCTCCAAACACCAACATTTCCCCAACAAAGCAGCACGTACCACTAGAAAAGGGGCTTGGTTGTTCTACCGTGGCTGCAAAGTGCTGTATTTCTAAGAAAAAATAAATGGTACATTGATAAATTCTGGGAAGATAATGGAAAGAGAAGTCCAGGAGGCATAAGGAAGAGAAAAACCACTGTCCATGACTGTATCCTACACTGCAGCAGTGTCACCCCTGCTACGTATTGCAGGCATAATCCATGATGTGCATCTTAGGTTAGCACCCTCATAGTTACCTGCTGCTCTAGGTTACTGTTTCTCTAAGCTATAAAAAGATGCATGTTATAAAAGAATGTCAGGATAATCACAGTACAGTGAATCAGGAGACAGTTAACTGGAGGCATATGGGAAAAAAAAATCAAATATAGTCTGCCTTTGGATAGCAAATGCCCCTTCACTGAACCAGAAGCAGCTTAATGCAGCGCATCCATTTTGACAAAAATAACATCAGGGTGATGGGGAAGGGGAGGGTGGGAGGTTCCCAGCTGCCCACACTGCCCACTTTCTGCTGCCTGCGGGCCAAGCAGTCACCGAGGTGTGGTCCCACCAGCAGGGAATGCAGAGCTGTGCTCCTACAACCCAGCCAACAACACAGCAGGACCAAACTGCATGCCTTGAAGCAGCCTAGGCTGCAGTGGTAGAGGATAACCCTGGCAAACCAAACAGCTGCAGGTAGGCATAAATGTAGCTTGTCACAGAAACAGCAGCTGAGCCGCAGAGTGGACAACAGGGGAGCAGAAGCTCAGCAAAGGCTCAGTGGGAGCTGCTGTCACACACAGGGCTGTGCTCCCACGGGCAGGGGCTGTGGCTCTGTGAGCACCCACACCAGTGCGTAAATCCCTGCAGAGAACAGCGTTAGCAAGCTCTACAGCACACAACCCCTGACCAGTGCAGAAAGAATACGGCTCTTTCCAAGATCCAAGTATCTTTGGCGCACACTGTGTAAGCGTGGGGCAGCAGCTGGCACATGTGGCATACCTGTGGCCAGAGGGAGATCAAGCAGACGTCCTTTGCAGTGCTGTGACGATCGCACAGCAGCGCACCAGTGGTGTGATGGTTTCAATACCTGTGGTACCAGCCTGCTGGGGCTCAGCACCTCAATGAGAGGAGGAGCTCAGGGCTGCTCCTGCCCTATATTTTCTGTGTTCAAGAACAAACTGTGAATATGTTTGCCAAATACAGAAAGTCAGGACTGACCTACCATCACCTGGCCAAATACCACAGGCAAGCAGATAGATCAGATGAGCAGCTCTCATCCAAAGGTAGGTCTGAAACAACACCTAAGAGGCAGGTTAGGGGCTGACAGGCAGCAAACACCATGTTTGTAGGGCGGAATGATCAATACAGAGTAAAGCAAGAAATAAAGAAAAAATGTTATATATGCTTTGAATTATCTTACTGAGTTTATCCAAACACCACTTCAAACAGACGTGCCTGCAGGCTGTCTCCTCCCTCTATTGCTCCATCTGGGGTCACACACCGGGGTGCTGCAGCAGCAGAGCAGGCACAGGAGCAATGCAAAGCAATTAACGATCACCACAGTCACTGCTTGTTTTTCTATTAACCCTCAGCCTGTACAAATCTGTGTCTTACACTATTTCTGCACTTGTACCCAAGTGCAGTTCCCGGGCTTGTACAGAAACACCAGACACACTCAATGTGACAGTCCCTTTCCCAGAGTGATTACTGTGGGGCAGCTCTGGGCATCCGTGTCACTGTGCAGCACTGCAAGCAGCTGCAGCATCCCCAGTGAGGATCATCCTTTTAATGGGGAATAAAGGTCTGTAGCTCTTACTCCCCACCCCTGGAAGGACTATACATGCCATCAGAAAAAAGATTTTCTGCAAAATGTGGTAGAGCACAGCACAATCATCTGGCTATATTTCAAGAGCTGTTCATCTTCCAGAGGAGCATGTGTTAAAGGGAACGTTCCTCATTTCTAGGCATAGCAGCTCCTAGGCCCAAGGTGGCTCATCTTACCATTGGTTTTGATCTTTGCAATTACAGCAAGGTTTGAAAAACAACTATTCTGTCCATATGAAATGACATCTACTTGTTGGCTCTGTAACATCAAGAACAATTCAATGCACGTTCTTGAAGAGCCACCATCTCCTGCCCCGAACCAGACCCTAGAAGAGAAGCATTAGAATATGAACACAAACCCAGCCACCTTCAGCTGCTGGAACTACTACAGCTGGCAGCACAACAGACAAGTTTGCCTTTGTTTATGGCAAGTCTGCAGGCAGCACTGTTTGCAACCCAGAGGCAGTGCTAACGCAGATGTTCTGAAAATCAGCTGGAGCTCTAACACTGCATTAGCATTGCTGTGCATCTACAGCTGCTTGCTTTACAGCTCGCGCAGCTGCAGCCTCACTGCTCATTTACAGACAACTGATGCTAAAGGCAGGCACCAGGAAAGTGCTGTGCAGGTTACTCGAGCTAGCATGGCAAGAGGGTGTGAGGTGGAGGAATTGCTGTACTGCTACTGCAAGCCATGCCACAGAGGAGATGCACTTGGGGCTGTTGCACATAGCTGCCCCAAATGAAGTCCAGGACATGAAATGGAGCTGGCATGCCACGGCCCTTGTCTTCTTTGTGTGTCCAAATGCCGGCTGCTCAGCCCCTTTGTCTCAGGCTGAACACCTCAATGCAATTCCCTGTTCTGACAGGAGCTCCAGGCAATCCATGCAGAGATAAAAGATCTAGACAGCTTACAGAAGGAGGGATGGAGACCGCTTTAAGAAGCATGCATCTTTGAGCTACTTGGCTCTATTTGAATAAAATTTGAATAGCTTTCTTTTGATGTTAATTACACTGTACTACATAGAGCAAAAAAAGGAGTGCAAGTGCAGAGAGTAGGAGCAAGACAGCTCAGGAACAGGGTGCCAATGAAATGGAATGTTCTGTGACACCAAACCAGGCTCCTTTCATGATGAGCAGAGCACTGCTGGAGCGCTTCCTAGGGAGCTGAATGGGTGCTAGGAGGGCTGCATTCCCCAATGGCTGACCTGAGCCAGGTCAGCACACACAGCTCTGCCACCTGCAGCAGCCCTGGCCCTGCAGTACAGACCCCAACACTGCTGCTCTGTTCAGAGTCCCTCTCACACATTCTCTCATGCAAAGTGCAGCAGAGGAGTCAGAAAAAAGCTTCCACTTTCCTCCTGTCCCATGGTAGTGCTTCATGCACACAGACGGCTGCTTTACTGAGCAGCTAGAGAAGTCAGCCTGCCTTGCCCTTGAGCCAAAACCCGATGGGATAGTTCTCAAATCACCCTGACAGCTCACTCTTGTTTCCTCTCAAAACCAGTAGCTTTGTTGTTTAATGGTGGACAAGGGCTGTTTATCTCACAGACCTCTGTTGGCCTATGGTGGGCATTGAGTTACTGTGTCAGCGTGTAGAGAACCATTTATTTGGTAAGAACAGCTTTCCACGAAACCATTCAGACTAGCACCAAGTATATCATTCCCTTCTGTTTATACCATCTGAGTGCAGGCTCCCACTCAGAAGTGCTTTAAACAGATGAGAAGAGGTGAAGCTCCCCACACAGTGGCCCCGAGAAGTCTCAGAGCACTGCAGGAGGGCAGCAGCCTGGCAGAAGACCAGAGACAGGGCTGTCCTCCAGGCATTGAGGGCACAGCACTGGGCCTCCCTGCTGTGAACCCAGGCACACGTGGTTCTTCAAGGACCAAAGCGATGCAAGAAGTTCCCAATTCCTCACTAAAGGTACAGCAGCTGATTATTTTAATGCAAAGCAAATAGGCAGGAATTGCTTTAGACCATTTTACTTTCAGCTGAAATAGGCTAGGAAAGCTCCAATGGAAGCACGGGTCAGTCTCTCGCAGCCAGGGATGCTGTTTGTTCAGCTAGGTCCTTTGGCGCCCTCAGTACCCTGAGCATCACTTTCCCATGACCTGTACATTAAAAGCCTACTAATCTGTGGAACTAACATCCTTAAGCTTTGGCACTGAAGAAACAAGAGCTGAGTCCTTATCAAACTTGATAGCACTCTGCAAAAGGTTATCTTTGCATCACATCTAGTGGTTAAATGTTCGTTACTTCCAGCAGTTGCTGGTAGTGTCTAGAGTAAATAAAGCTGTTAAACAGCTTCCATTTAAATCTTTCATGCACATTTCTAGAGGAT